GTGTGTATGGACATAGTGTGTGTGTGTGTGTGTATGGACATAGCAGGTGTGTGTGTGTGTATGGACATAGCAGGTGTGTGTGTGTGTGTGTATGGACATAGCAGTGTGTGTGTGTGTATGTATGGACTCAGCAGTCTGTGCGTCTGTGTGTATGTATGAACTCAGCAGTCTGTGTGTGTGTGTGCATGGACATAGCAGTCTGTGTGTGTGTGCATTGACTCAGCAGTCTGTTTGTGTGTGTGTGCATGGATTCAGCAGTCTGTGTGCGTGTGCATGGATTCAGCAGTCTGTGTGCGTGTGCATGGACATACTAGTCTGTAAGTGTGTGTGACAAATGATTTAGGTAAACTAGAAAAATGGTCAGAATTGTGGCAACTGACATTTAATGTGGATAAGTGCAAGATAATGCATCTTGGACGTAAAAACCCAAGGGCAGAGTACAGAATATTTGATAGAGTTCTAACCTCAACATATGAGGAAAGGGATTTAGGGGTGATTATTTCTGATGACTTAAAAGGTAGGCAGACAATGTAATAGAGCAGCAGGAAATGCTAGCAAAATGCTTGGTTGTATAGGGAGAGGTATTAGCAGTAGAAAGAGGGAAGTGCTCATGCCATTGTACAGAACACTGGTGAGACCTCACTTGGAGTATTGTACACAGTATTGGAGACCGTATCTTCAAAAGGATATTGATACCTTAGAGAAGGTTCAGAGAAGGGCTACTAAACTGGTTCATGGATTGCGGGATAAAACTTACCAGGAAAGGTTAAAGGATCTTAACATGTATAGCTTGGAGGAAAGACTAGACAGGGGGGATATGATAGAAACATTTAAATATATAAAAGGAATCAACACAGTAAAGGAGGAGACTATATTTAAAAGAAGAAAAACTACCACAACAAGAGGACATAGTCTTAAATTAGAGGGACAAAGGTTTAAAATAATATCAGGAAGTATTACTTTACTGAGAGGGTAGTGGATGCATGGAATAGCCTTCCAGCTGAAGTGGTAGAGGTTAACACAGTAAAGGAGCTTAAGCATGCGTGGGATAGGCATAAGGCTATCCTAACTATAAGATAAGGCTAGGGACTAATGAAAGTTTTTAGAAAATTGGGCAGACTAGATGGGCCGAATGGTTCTTATCTGCCGTCACATTCTATGTTTCTATGTTTCTATGTGTGTGTATGTGTGCATGGACTCAGCAGTGTGTGTGTATGGACATAGCAGTGTGTGTGTGCATGGACTCAGCAGTGTGTGTGTGTGTGTGTATGGACATAGCAGTGTGTGTGTGTGTGTGTGTGTTGTGTGCATGGACTCAGCAGTGTGTGTGTGTGTGTGTGTGTATGGACATAGAAGTGTGTGTGTGTGTGTATGGACGCAGCAGAGTCTGTGTGTGTATGGACTCAGCAGTCTGTATGTGTGTGTGCGTGTGTGTGTGTATGGACACAGCAGTGTGTGTGTGTGTGTGTATGGACACAGCAGTGTGTGTGTGTGTGTGTGTATGGACTCAGCAGTGTGTGTGTATGGACTCAGCAGTCTATCAATAATTAAAATTCCTGTGAGTTGTTGTGTAGGAAGGGCCCCAGTGCATTGTTTTGCCCGGGTGCCCTTAGCTCTGTTAAAATGGTACTGCTTGTGTGTGTCAGTGAGCTTCTATTTAGTGAGCATGTGTGTGTCAGTGAGCTTGTCTTTAGTGAGCTTGTGTGTGTCCCTGAACTTCTTTGTAGTGAGCCTTCTGTTTATACAAGTGAGTTTGTCTTTAGTAAGCTTGTGTGTGAGTCAGAGAGTTTTCTGTCAGTAAGCCTATTTGCACATGTCAGTGAGCTTGTGTGCTTACTTTATTATATATATCCAAAGCAGCCCTGCGAAAAAATGTATGCCATTCCTAAAAGTCAATAAATATATATAAATATATATATATATATATATATATAGACTTTTGGGAATGGCATACATTTTTTATTCCAGGGCTGCTTTGGATTCCCAGTTTTGGCTCTGCCAGCGAGTGCACTTTACCGCTGAATCATCTGTGTGAGCTGCCGCACACTTTAGCCCTGTTACACGCGTCTGGGAGCTGCTGTTGACCGGTGCTAGTAGTCTAGAGACTGGGACATGGGGTATATGCTCAGCTATCTGTATAATACAGATCTGTGTGTATAAAATATCTCGGGATAGTCAGTGCTTCCTGTATAGTGCTGCTCTCTGTATAATACAGGCCTGTGCATGTATAATATCCCAGGACAGTCAGTGCTCCCTGTATAGTGCTGCTCTGTGTCTTGGGATATTATACACAAACAGACCTGTATTATACAGAGTGCAGCACTACACAGGGAGCACTGACTGTCACAATTTATTATACATACAACCCTATATTATACAGAGAGCACTGACTGTCCAGGGATATTATACCCAGACAGTAATTGATAGCTGTGCTGCAAAATGTCCTTGGAAATATTTTTCAAATGTTGGCAACTATGGCACTGTATCAAGGGTAATGTGTTTTTTTTTTTTTAATAATCCCATTGTGTCGGGGGCGGGGCTTAACATGTGGCAGGGGCGGCGTTAAAAGTGACCCCCTACTTTTGTCCCTGGCTCTCCGTGTGCCCCCCCCCTAAAAATGAATCCTAGAGACGCCACTGCAGCCATGAGGGGGACAGTCTGAGAGCTCAAGCACTCCCCCTGCAGGCACTGAACAAGCCGGCTATTCCAGGCATGTGATCGCGAGGACCCCACAATCACATGGCCCGGAGGGGGGAAGGGGGACCCAGACCATCTTTTAATGATCAAAGTTTAATACTAATCTCTTTATGAATACCATTCAATTATTATCAATAGAATATCACTCTATTACACTAAGCACTTTAATATTTCACCATATACCACCATGAGATAATATGCATATATATACTTATATGTTTTTCACTTATGATTTATATTAACATACTTTTCACTTTGCTATTTCAGTGAAAGTACCCTTAGTTAGTCCCCCCCCTGGCCGGACCTGCACTGGATATGATTACAGTGCGGGTGATCGGCACCAGGGGGAGGGGCTCTATACCGGCACTTAGAAACGCCCTAATGGGCGGTATTAGAAGAAATGCTCACACCATTCCCTCCTCCCCGACCTGCACGCAAAGATCATGTGCGGCACGACCGGGGAGACAGGGAACGTCCGGGCGGAAGCGAAGTGACGGTCACGTGGGTTCGTGACGTCACTTCCGCCAACCACCCGGACGGATGCGGAGTACTTCCGCCAACCAACCACCACCCACCAATGAGATTATAACACCAAAAAAGGCGCCAGAAACCTGGGCCAATTAAAGGGACACATACGAATTCCATTATATGAGGAATATACAACCCCTATTATGATTGGAGGACAATGATTGAACACACCAAAGGGGAGGACCCCAGAAACATTTAAGATGGAAGATTCAGAGGATAACTACTACAGCTGACTGAGGAAGCTCCATAGAAGCAGTGAAACGCGTTTTGGCTATTTAAAAGAGGACTTTTAAAGAGGACTTTTTAACTATTGTTTTTATTGATTTTGATCTAAATAAAACCATTATTTTTTTACTACATTCCTCTTAAGTCCCTCTTTTGGAAACCTCAGGAGAATCTTCCCAGGGGTAGTGTCACCCCCACTTAAAGTGACACCAAGCGCACACACCTAGAGCCGGGACCCACAGGCTCAGGACCAGGTGAGCAAACCATTTATCTGTACCAGATTGTGTTTTTATTAAGCACGTTTTACACATTGGTCTGCTCTCTTTATCATTTTGTTTTGGAGAATTATCCCACACTGAAGGAGGCGGGCGGTGCTACCCTTATAAGCACATCGGCTAATATACGGAGCCAGTGTTCTCACATACAGGCTCCTAGAAATGTGAGTGTTCAATTTACCCGATATAACTATTATTACTAAATTAACACCTTCCATACCGTCTACACTATATTGTATTCCTTTGTATCTTTTTAAACATGTACCTTACACTGCGCCATTGAATGGGATGCCATTTGGTAAGCTGTACTTGTGTTAGGAGCGCTCCACTTATTGGGATAAGTTTGTTTATAGCTTAAACCACACCAATAACTTCAGCTGCAGGGGGACTGCCTGGGATGCCAGGCAAGCCCCCACATCGCAATCGCCAGAGATCCGGTAATTCCCGACCGGGGACATACGTCTGCGGTCGGGAAGGGGTTAAAGGGACACTATAGACATCCATCCCACTTCTTCTCATCAATATGGCAGTGTCCCTGTCATTTTAGCTCTGCAGTTGCAAACATTGATAAACTGCAATGTTCACATTGCAGGGTTAAGCCTGCCTCTAGTGGCTGTCATGCAGTTTGACTCCATGAGGACATCCAGCATCTTCTAAATGCCTATAGGAAAACTCTGATGCAATGCTTTCCTATGTGGAAGGCCAAATGTGCATGCCTCACTTGGGTCTTATGTGCATTATGTCCCCCCCCCCCAATAGTTGACGGAATCAGGTGTTAAAAGGGTTTTATATGCGAACGGTGGGGCAGTGGGACACTATAGTGTTAGGAATATAATTTTGTATTTCTAGCACTTTAGTGTTCTTTTAAATAAATAACACGACTGATGGGATGCAACAAAAAAGCCCTTTATAAGCAGAATTGTTTTTAAATGTACAGACATAAAACTTTACATACTTCATTTGCCCTTTAATATAAAAATCAAATTAGTTTGTAAGACTGCCAGAGCTTTAAAACATAACAAAATTGTAATTAACATAGGACAGTAAGAACACAGTCCTTCAATGAGCAGGAAGCCAAAAAAATTTCGTAAAAATTATAAACAGATCCAAAAATTAAAATATAGGCAACACATCATAAAAACTCAATATGTTTAAAGTTTAGACATTGCAAACAGCCTGTCTCATAAATAAATCTGAATTTCAACACTTAACATTATTCTGTATGGTTTCTTTTTTAAATGTTCATGGAAACCACTATATATTGTAAAGCAATCTTTAAAGAATATATTTTCAGAGTAGTTTTTATACAAGATTTAGAAAAGAACTTCAAAATATTTAAAAATAATAATACAACACTAACAATTAATGGCACATCCTGGATTGCAATTTCTATGTAATATCAGGTTTTGGTACCCTTGAGTATTTGAGGAACATACAATGCCTTGCACATCCATTTGGCACAGAGAGGACCAAAAAACAAAGACGATGGGACAGTAGTTTGCGTGTGTAGTGATCAGATAACTGGTGCAATAATGACCATTGCGGTGTGTCTGCTGCTAATTTTACAGGTTCCCATGGCATTTACCCAATTTTCTAATCACTATCACCAATCTCCCCCATTGTGTATAACATGTATAGCTATTATGCTCCTATCACTGCTGTCACAGCTCAATACCATCCATGCCAGGCGTTGTGTGACTGTGCTCAGGATTGGTAGAACATTTGGTGAATTAGAGAACAGTACATATTGGTAGCATTTTAATATTACCTGATGGATATTGTAATGCATATTTTTTTGTGTATTACAATCACCAGACTATTCATTAAGTGTCACAAAATATAGGGATTTTGCAGAGGTTTTAATTCTCCAATTTTCCACATCTTCTTTAAACCCCTTTCTGAACTTACTTGTATTCGTATAATAAAATAGGCAGTGTTACGTTATGCTCTGTAACACTAAAAGTTAATTAAAATCATTATTAAAAAAACAAAAACATTATTTAGAACGTAAAGCAGAGAGTAAAGCACTGGGATTAAAGTGTCTAAACTTGTTCTCTTTCAAATTAAATACATGATAAAATCAGGTTTGGATGTGAACGGAGTATTGAAAATACTTTAAAAGTGTGTTTTAATTATTAAACCATTCCTCACTAGTAAATACAGCCAGTACAGACAGGTTTTAAGACAGGTTTGGAGGAACGGTAGATTCCCCAGATGTTGTAAACTGCCTTAACCCCTTAAGGACCAAACTTCTGGAATAAAAGGAAATCATGACATGTCACACATGTCATGTGTCCTTAAGGGGTTAAGAATGTCAAAGCATAACAGAAGTTCTAGAACACCTGGGGATTGACAGTTTTGCCATCTCTGATTTAAGACAATCATGATGCTTATAGGTACCAATCTTTTGCACACTCTCCCATTCCATGTTAATGTATTAAATATTAAAAAAATGCAAAGTGTCTAAAAACAAAAAGAGAGAAATACTACCCTACAAAGTTTCTAATTTGCAGCCTCTGTTCCTTCTTACTGCTCACTCAGCAGCTGAGATTTGTCTACAAACCTGTACCTCTCTATGCAAAACCATTAAGGTAGCACTGCACATGCTCACATGACACTAGAATAATCTGATTTATTATTTCCTCTGTGATAATTGTTTTGGTAAATGCTACATATATCACTTTGAGACAACGGATTTATTTTAAATCATATCTACCTGCTTATTCTTTCTTATGCTATTCATACCCAGTCTACCCAAACAGTGTCCTATCCCTAGGAATGCTGGAAAAATGCATTGGGCATGCTTGACTGATTTACACATGTGCAAAAGTGGGAATCTGATCAGTGTGAACAGGTTTCTCTCTCCTACTGCTGCACAACGAGGCCCTGTTTCTGTCATTAGTGCACTTTTCTGAAATAGAGATCCCCTAAATGAGAGGTGTGTTTAACAATGCAATCCAACCACATTTATCAATGTTTATTATATACTTTTCTAAGTTTACTTGCCTTATTTTGGTTTGTATATTTGTTTAAAAGTGCTTTCTGGTTTAAAAAAAAAAAATCGTCAAGTGCTGCAAGTCCCTTTAGGATACCTACGTCAGGATGGAATTCCCTATTTAATTACCAAATTGTCACAGTTAATCATGTAAAACGACACATGCTGGCGTAAAGATCTAATGGGGTTCAATGCATAACTTTGTGGCTCATGTGGCGTTTGGATCTTATGTTTTTACTCCAGATCCTACAATAACAAATTTTGTCAAACCATAACTTGTATGGACTTATAGCAAGTTGAGTAAAGTTATAAAAATGTATGTAAAAAAGGCATGGGACTTGCCTGTTATGCCCTTACTGTCAAAGTAACTCTAGAGTTTAGAAAAAAAAGTGATAAAGTGAGGGAGTGACCGGGAGAACCAGGAGGATAGAAATGCTCACATATAAACTTGTAGTCAAAACTGCCGTCTTCTTGACATTTTCAGTCACAAGACAGCTAAACTGCAAATCATGGAGGGACTAGGAAAGGAGCAGGTAAGAATGAAACATGGTATAAAACAGTCCTACTTCCCTTTAAAATAACCTCTTTTTCTAGACAAAAAAAGGGACACTCCATTGCCTAAACACAAAAATAGCTAAAAAAAAAAAAAAAACTAAAAAAAAAAACATGAAATCATGCATGAACTTAATTATGCTTTTTTCATTGGGGTATATAAAATGGCTTTCAAAAGCTGATCTCTTGTCTGCAGCTTTTGCAATCCCTCCCCTTCTAACCACGTCCAGACTTTCTGTGGCTGTCCAATCACAAATTTCCCAATGCAGTTCAATGAGGGGTTTTTGAAAGACAGGTGATTTAGGCTGTTACCGGTCTCTTGAGTTTAGTTCCACTGAGATTAACAACCAAGAAGTAGCAGAACCAATTCTCTGATTGACAGCCATGGGGTGGTAACAAGATTAATATCACAAAAGAGCCAATTTCAATTAAAATCTTCACTTTCTGCATGGATCTTGAGTGTCCCTTTAAAATATGAGAATATATGCATACATCTCTAAATGAGCTCTAAATGTAATTATTTATATATATTTGGTTTGTGCATTTATTTCTTGTTTTTTCTTATGATTTTTTTATTTTACAGTTCTTCTGTCACCCCTTTATTCCTGCTGCCAGAACTGCTAATTTGAGCAGTCTTGGGTCGAAATAGGTCACTATCTGATCTTGATTCAAAGGATGAACAACAAAGACTGCCACAACTAGCACTGCAAAAGAAAAATGTCTGCTTGTTCACAGACTGCTAACATCAACTATGATCACCCTGTAGGCGCAGGGTGATCCCCTCAGCTGGTAGTGAGTACCATGGGCTCAGCATGCTGGAGAGATGACGGATGCTCTTCTCTGTGATTGAGCAGAGGCCGGGCAGGCGTCTGATACAGGCTGATTCTGACCCAAGATCGCTCAAAATGCCAGGGGGAGATGATAGAGGGAAATATAAACATAATAAAAATTTAAGAAGTGAGATAAATAATTGCACAAACCAATTAAATAATGAAGAATTACAATTTAATAATACTTTCCTTTTACTATGAATCTTTTTAAACCACAAGAAAGTGACAAGGACAGGAGTAAGCGTATTATCTCAAGCGACAAGCTGTAGAATATGTATACAGAATTATGTACAGGTCATATATGTTACACATTTGTTTAAAAAATATCTGAATAATATGAAGTCTCCCCACATTCCACTGAATATTAGCATTCTACCATGCTTCAATTTACAAGTTAACATTAGTGAAAAAATAAAGTTAGTTATTCAACACCTGGAAATCTGTATATATATATATAAAAAAAAAAACTGAGGTAACAGGTGAGTGTATAAAGTCGTATTCTTCCAAAAATATGTTTTTACTTGGAAATTTTTTGTCACTAGTCCCTCGACTTGTCAGAGGTTTGAGGAAGCAGTTTTTAGCAGCGAGAACCGAGAATGTTTATACAACGATCATTCTGCCATCAAATGGGATTATGAGATCCCCCAAATACTATTCATTCCCACTGGCTTGTTTCTCTGTTTGTTCCAACACCTGTGTTAAAATGTCATCAATGACATCGACGTCATAGTTTATCTGTTGTAAATCCAGATCTGGCATCAGTGTAGTAAGGAGCTGGGCAACGTTAACCCGGAGTGTTCGTAACTTCAAGCTAAAACAGCAAAAGATATACCATGTTGGTAAAACGTTTACAAAGCAAGAAAACATAATTCCTCATGTGAATAATAATTAAAAAAAATAAAAATCAATATCTCGTTGTCAATATAATTCTTATTTATTATCTTATTTAGATTGTAAGCTCTGATGCCTTCACTACATCTTGCTTCTATGTCAAACGTATGATATTGAATTTACGTGTTTGTAAACCTATTGAACAGGGCACAGAATATGTTGGTGCTTATAATAAATACAGAATATGTTGGTGCTTATAATAAATACAGAATATGTTGGTGCTTACCAATAATAAATCATATTATCAACAAAATCCTTATAATTCTACCCCCCGCCAAATAGATAGAATGTTTATGACATACTCCGATTTAATGTATTGGAATTTAACTGCAAAAGATTTACTATGACAAAGTAGATACTACTTTGCTTCAGTATTTGTCCTGTGTCTGACACTGCCCTTATAAGTAGGTTAACACAGAATTAGTGGAACTGCTCTGTAAACTCATGTTAGCCATAGTACAGCAGCTATTAATTCCTACGCATTCCCTTTAGTGAACCTTGATATAGGCTATTAGGAACCATTTTGTTTTACTTGCTCCCATTTTATAGAATAGCATTTATTTGGTTCATCTTGTAACAGTTGAATCTTTGCAAGGTTCAGTTCATTGTAAATGAACAGGGAGTCATATCTGCACGCTCAGCATCGGAGGTGTAATCTAGGAAAACCAAGTGTAACTTATGACACAGAAGTCATACCTGGATGCTTGATGTCCACAGTGTAATCGCGATAATCTTTTGACACTTATGTAATAAAGTTTAAAGGGAGAAACAGAAAATGATGCTGCAGTTCTTACACGCTCCAATTTATAAGCGTGGGTGCAGGGTACCATCTGCACCATGAACTTTGCAGTCACGTAAAGCTGTTATACTGCCAAGAACCAACTTTTAATTTTTTTAAAATAGTTTTATTTTAGTCTTGGAGTTGTATTTCACACCTGGCAGACAATCTAATTATAATAAGGAGAAAAATCAGTTTGCCCAAGAGTGTTACACTTTTGTAACTCCATAACTGTAGTATCTCCGGTTATAAGAGACTGGACATAGACAATGTATACATTTCTCAAACCCCCTAAAAGAGACTTTTTTCTGGACTTACCTTTCCTCTGACACTCCTGCTGTGCTGGTTGTGGCAGTCTCTTTGCTGTTCATCTCTTGAATCAAGACTTTCATTTGTTCAACCTCAGTCTCCAGCTGGTTGTTTTGAGAATGTAATCTTGTGTTTTCTTGCTTTAATTTTTCTACCTGCAGCATATACAAACACAATGAAAAGCTGAAAATTCACTTATAAGAAGGCAACAATTATCAAGTAGGGACTGCACACTTGTCCAATAATATAGTGCTCGTCATACATTAGAACTCCAGACTTAGGGGATGGCGAGTCTCCAGAACACTTTAATAAAGTAAAAAGAGCCCAGGTACGCATATTTAGTCCACACTTTAACAGGAACTAGCGGAGACGCATTACTCCGAGAGGTCACATGACACCCATGTACAACATATCATTAAGCATGCTGGACGTAAAAAGATGACATACACAGAGATCAGAGATTCCCCCTGCATTTAAAGCAATAGTAAAAGGCAGTTTTGAGCAGCCAGAACTTTGTCATGATGTGCTGGTTCCCATTAAAGTCTGTATGGTGAAGAAAACAGAACTGTATTCTTCATAAAAGGCAGTTGTCTTGGGAATCTGCCTGTCTAAGAAGCAGGGTTTAGCGTGCAAATGGGAATACAGGCAAGTGCCATTAAAGGACCACTATAGTGCCAGGAAAACACCCTCAGGGTCCTCCTCCTGCCCGGCTCTGGAAGGGGGAAAGGGGTAAAAACTTTCCTTTTTCCAGCGCTGGGCGGGGAGCTCTCCTCCTCCGTTCCGCCCCGTCGGCTGAATGCGCACGCGCGGCAAGAGCTGCGCGCATTCAGCCGGTCGCATTATCAATGCTTTCCTATGGACGCTTGCGTGCTCTCACTGTGAAAATCACAGTGAGAAGCATGCAAGCGCCTCTAGTGGCTGTCAATGAGACAGCCACTAGAGGATTAGGGGGAAGGCTTAACCCCTTAATAAACATAGCAGGTTTATAAAAAAAATGGGTTAACCCTAGAAGGACCTGGCACCCAGACCACTTCATTAAGCTGAAGTCGTCTGGGTGCCTAGAGTGGTCCTTTAAATGCTGTACACCTAATCCACTACACCAGTGTGAACATATGTAACCTGCTACTGACATGCTGTCAGCCATTTTGCTGTTTGTCCGCCATCTTCGAGTATAATCAAAGAAGAAGAATACTTGAAGAATTATATACTGCTTTTTACTAACTGTTTTTCTTTACAAATTAATTTCTACAAAGACGATTTCTTGAACTGTAACAGGAAAGACATTTTGTAAGTGTCCTGTTAGCTGTTGCCAGGAGGGGGGGCATGTGTGATCAGCTCTAGAAGAGGAAGTTAAGGTTTTACGGATTGAGACATGAATGGACAGTTGACAAACAATGTGTTAGAATAGATTAGGTAAGGGGGAGATTATTCTAACGAAATATCTATAGTAAGACACATGTCAACACGGAACAGGTTCAATTCTAGACTTAAGTTCCCTGTGTCATTACTGTGGTCAAGCCATCTGTTGAAACATGTTACTTGAACCCTGAACTTACTGTAACCTCAAACTGTCATTTATACTAGAATTTAGCCAATAGGAAATGTGACAATATTTGGAGTTCTGATTGAGCTAAACGGAGAGCTAGTTCCTGGTCTAAATTATAAGAAGCAAGGGATTGTTATGTGATGTCAGATTACTTCTTGATAATCTCCCTAGAGATATCTCTGTGTATCTCATGGTCATTAAAACGCTTTTATTGAACCTGGCGATTTTTGTTGCTACTTCCACATCACTGAAGGGTGGTAAGGCCTCAATCATTTTTTAAAAATGAAAGAGAGAAGCACAGATCTCTGTATTGCATAATGAGCATCTGATACCACACTAAGGCCGGCGAGATAGCTCAGTGGGTTAATGCATAATCAGTAGATTCTGTTCAATCTTTTGGTGTTGACTCAGCCCTTATCCTTCCGATGTAGATCAAATGAGTACCATTAAATTGGGTAGTAGTAACATCCCCTGAATGTTGGGCAAAAGGAACATCCCCAGGACGTACTTGGATACCAGAGTAATCTGAATGGACCTTTCCTGGTTAAATACGTTGTTATTATTGTTAATAAAAACCTGGAATAAAGGAATCCTAAAAACTGAGGAAGAGGCTTTAGGGATAGAGCAAATAAACTTTGTGAACTTTGTGTAACCAGTTAGCTCCAGTTTGTCATAGCTGCACATATATACCTGTCAGGAATGATTTTATAATCAGCAGCCATTTTATAATCAGTGGCCATTTAAAAGTCAGCCGCCATTTTAAATCTGATTCTATTTTTCTAGTGTATTGCTAAAAAACGGTTATAATCTTTTATAAAGACAGAATAAAATTATTTATTTGTTAATTAAAGTATTCTGTTGCATCTACAAACAGATGTTCTCTAAAAGGGGAAGTATATGTCAATCAAGATACTTTGAGGAAGTAACAGAAATATATATTCTGCAAGCTGATCAAATATGTTATGAAACAATGTCTACAATTAAATTAAAGATATACAATTATATTTTTAGAAAGTAGTTATCTGTTAAATTATCAAGTGATGTCTACCTTTGGCCATGACCGGTCTACTTTGTGACCATGAGCTAATTTTTCTGTCAACGATCCAAACTATTTGCAGAATTGCTGACTGTGTAATATGACATAGTGGTAAGTAATCATCTGCTTTTTACAGAAACCCTGACTGGAGCCAATAAATTTCGAGATATGATTTGAGACCATGTTGTGTGTCAGTCATTTCTCCCGAGCTGCTCGTAGTTGTGTTTGTGCTTGTTGGAGTTCCAAGGACGGTCTGCAGCCGTGAATTATCCCTGGTGAAGACTTTGTGCCCTAACTATATCTATCTTTCTACTCCATAAAGGAACACTCCAAGCATCAAAACAACTACATCACACAATGATGGTTATGAGTGACCTGGTCTCCCCCGCCCCCCTCCCCATTGTAACTATCAAATTGTTTTAGAATGGCGTAACATTTCACTGCCTTCACTACTAAAGCCAAAGAACTGGAAGCTCCTACGCCAGACTTTTCATTAATACTCCTGGGCCAAGCTTCCAGAACTCTGCCTGGAGTAGTAGAGGCAGGAAGCTGCATCATTTTACTATTTACACTGTGGGATGGGAGGAATTTGTGAATACAATCCATCCTCAAAGACAGCTGGGTATAGTAATAAGCAGAAACAGTTCATTATCAATGCCAATGGCTCTAAATCAGCTTATTTGCATAATTGCTTTCATTAGTTCTGCTTCCTGGTTTGAAATGTGTGTGGCTAAAACTATTTTGTCTGATATAATAATTTGGCCAATGTTTTACCTACCTAACACGGTACTTAGGGCAGCTAAAAATTGACACATTCTGTCATTCTCAACCAGGTGCCGATGACTATATCTTCTGTGATACATCATAGTATCCCACAGGTATTATTTCATAAAATAGCTACTAGCAACAAGACGGCAGACATCAAGACAATAGCAGGTTACACATGTTATCAACAACATCACATGTATCTGTCATAGCAACACCCTGTCAATACGTGGTATAAATAATATATTTGTCACGATCCCCGGCTCGCCGCAAGGTGCGGTCGCACGCGACCAGTGCGACCGCGCCAACTGACTGAGCTTACTTGCTCAACGGCGAGTAGGGAGCCGATCCGGTGGGTTCTCCTGGCCCCCTGCACAGATTAAAGATGGCGCCGACCATGCAGTCGCAGCCATAAAAAGCTCCGCCCCCGAGGGTCACACAAACGTGCGTTAGACGTCACGCTGTCGACGCACACGCACGTTCTGTGGTCAGGGGTCACCTTCTCACCAATCACATTCAAATGAGGGATATTTAAATCCCTGAAGTTCCCTGGTTCTTTGCCCTGTCGTGGTTTCGATTCCTGGTTCCTGAGAGCGCGTTTTCGCGTCCTGTTTTTGATATTCCCGGTATTTTGACCTTGGGTATTCCCAACTATTCCGATTTCTGGTTTCCCTGACTTGGCTTGTTAAATGGTATTGTATATTTTCTGGCTTCCTTGACCATTCTCTGTCTTTAACGTATTAGTCCGGCCATTCTAAGGACCTGTTTACGTTCTATCATTTTCTGTTCTGTCAATGTAGATGTTACATAGTTCTGCGTGCTGGACCTCACTAGCAGTCATGACAATATTCCTGAAGCTGTCATGCTATTCAGTAAGACAGACCAAACAAACTTACATACACAAACTATACAAAGTGGGGATAAATACCATATCCAACCACCTTAATGTTACTACAGGTCCTATAACATTTGTGATTGAATATTAAGTGGGAATAAATTAAGGAAAGGGAAATGAATAATAGTATCAAAACAGGAGAGTTGTTCTCCACTTTTTTAATACATTTTGGAATAAATTCCAACATATTATGTAGTCATCGTTAATAAAACGTTTATTTCTTTGTTGCTTTTCTGCTAATTCTGAAAACTTTAAAATGATTCCATCATATCACCGCTTTCAGTCTTTGTGGCGGGGTTGGGGTTAACCTTACACAGATGAGACTTACCTGACTTTTGTAGTCATCACGCTCAGTGCAACACTCATCGAGCTGTCTGAAGACACCATCAAGTTGTTCTGCCATGTCATCTACTTCACTGGTGTCTTTTACTTTGTTTTCAATGTTGGCATCAGGCTCTGCTTTCAGTTGCTGTAGCGTGTTACACTGCATTTTTAACCTGCTGATTTCTTTCAAGGCCTGCTCATACTGTGCAACAAGCTGTTTTGAAGAATTTTCTGGAGTGTATGTAGAGCAAGAATCAGTTTGCGTGAACTGATGGGAAACCTCTGTTTTCAAATACTTATTCTTAGTATCGACCAGCTGACTCTGTAAGTCTTTCACTGCCCATTCCAGAGATTTACATTGTCTTTTGTAATGTTCTGTCTCATGGTTAAACGTGTTCACACTTTGCTCTTTATCTGGTTGCTGTTCTGGGTTGTCATGCGATTCCGTCCCATTGCAGTAGTTGAGCTCTTCGTTTTCTTGGCAGTCTGGATTATTACTGTTCTCTTCTTCCTTTTTAATAGTCAAACTTACTCTTTCAGTCTGGGTGGCTACTGCAATGGTATCGCTTGAATTTGCTCTGTCTGGTGAGTTAGCATCCAAAATATCCATGGTGATAGGGCTGAGATTTGATTCGCTTTTACTTTTTCCATTTTCATTTTTGGGCTTTGGGGTGCTGTTCTCTTCTAGGATGATGACATCCCCATCATCAATCTCATCCAAATCTGTCAACTCTATAGTGTCTGTTTCAGAAGTCCTTGGCTTTTTAGCAGTGATTGGGGATCGTTCACTAGACAGCGAACGCTTATTTCTGAAAACAAAACAGGAGGTTAGTACTGCGATGTTTATGTGATATGCAGAGAGCATGATTTTTTTTCTATTCTATTTTGTGCTGAGATTCCAGTTGGCTCTAAAATACCTTTTAGTAGTTCAGGTCATCTAGTTTTTTGTTTTTTTTAACATAAGGGGTTCATTTTTGTGCAACTAAGCCTGAAGCAAAGTTGTATCGACCACAATCTGTCAAAACGGCAGCCAACTAAGTTAGGTTATAAAGCGTGGAGGGAGCTTCACACAGCAAGTGACTTCAGAATCTGCCTTGACTAAAGCATTTGTACAAAGAAATCCATTTACCCATCTATTTGGTTTTCGATATTTCCCCAGTTTCCTAGTGCTGAAATACATACCTGTCATTGGCAGAAAATTTTTCCAAACTTATCCCCGGAGATCTATTTTCTGGACTCATCCCAAGAGTTCTCACCGGCAGAGTGGCATTATTAAACATTCTTTGCATTGAGCTCACCGCCGGCTGAATGTCTTTATTCGGAGGAGTAAAAAGAATTGTTGTTTTTTCATAGGCCTGTTACAACAGAGCAATTAAAAAAACATCAGGTTTTGCCATCCTGTCAGTCAAACGTACCTAAAAATTTTGACTTCCAAAAGTTAACCCATCTAAACTTATCTAAAAGCATACAAGTCACTAAAAGTAAACTTTTCAATAAAGGGACAATAAGCACCAAAACAGCCTAATGAAGCAGTTTTAGTATATAGATCATGCAGTCTCACTGCCCAGCCATTTAGGAGGTAAATCACTCGTTAAACTGTAATCACAGAGATGAGACCCCTGCAGGGTTTAGAAGGCTATTAGCAGAGCAGGAGATAAATTCTAAATTCAACACACTTTGCAATAAAGGAAGTTTAAACATTAAATCTCTCTTTATGCAGGGAGGTGTGGCTAATGCTGCATAAACAAAGTCAATTAACTATCATTAAGCAGTGAGACTGCAGGGGCATGATCTATACACCAAAACTGCTTCATTATGCTAAACCTTGTATTGGAGCCTAGAGAATAGTATGTGGGTTAAACCAAATCAGTGCAGCTTTTACAGGGGCCTGAAGAGCACACTTGTAAACACAAGTCCTTTTTTTGTAATCACTGCATGCATAACACAATCTGGACCCAACACTGAAAAAGTACCCTGAGAAACACCCTGATATGTTGCTGAAGCTGCCAAAATAGTGAAAGACAAGTGGATGCAATATACACTGTGCTTATAAACTACAAACTGGATGGCGTGTTTTATGTGTAGCGCAAGCCCACACAAATACATTTGTTATCGCCCAAAGATAATTGAAGAGAAATTAATATCTAGAAATTAGAAGTTGTGATAAATAACATTTTCTTTTGGGAGATCTAGTCTTAATACACGCAATTCCAGGAAGTATAAAGAACAAATATATAAAAACACCCACCTGCTGATTTTGTTCAGATTTTCTGTTAAAAAAGAAAAGAAAAACAAAACACTTGTAATACCAAAAAACACATTTCACATTTTATTTCGATTTTAAAATAATTTACATTAGAAACCAGATCAAATTAGAATTAAAAAAAAAAACACAACACATTTACGTTGACTAAATGTAATCCTCTGAACATGGAGCAAGTTATTAAAACAATATATTAGGTATTGGTCCGTACATGGGTCCAGACAAACTGAGTGAGTATTGACTCCGCTATATCATCACTTTGCCTTTAATCCCGCAACACAAAACCTCTGACGGAAGAGACCCCACCACTTCCAGCTTCCATCATTATTTTGTTTATGCACACATACAAGCCGTTCTGCAGCTGCAAAGACATGAGAGGCAAGGAAGAAAGAAGAGTCTGTGAGTAACCAATTGTATGCCTCTAAAACGGATTGCCATGATTTGCTAAGCATATGCCTCAAACTGCCATGGTGTGCTAATTTTATTCTTCTAAAGCTTATTGCCATGATGTGCCAAGTGTATGCCTCTAAAGCCAACTGCCATGGTTTAAAAATAATATCAGGAAGTATTACTTTACTGAGAGGGTAGTGGATGCATGGAATAGCCTTCCAGCTGAAGTGGTAGAGGTTAACACAGTAAAGGAGTTTAAGCATGCGTGGGATAGGCATAAGGCTATCCTAACTATAAGATAAGGCTAGGGACTAATGAAAGTATTTAGAAAATTGGTCTGAATGGTTATTATCTGCCGTCACATTCTATGTTTCTATGTTCTATGTGTTCCAAGTGGATGCCTCTAAAGCTGATTGCCACGGTGTGCCAGGTGTATATCTTTAAAGCCGATTGCCACGGTGTGCCAAGTGTATGCCTTTAAAGCTGATTGCCACTGTGTGCCAGGTGTATGCCTCTAAAGCGGATTGCCACGGTGTGCCAGGTGTATGCCTCTAAAGCGGATTGCCACGGTGTGCCAGGTGTATGCCTCTAAAGTGGATTGCCACGGTGTGCCAGGTGTATGCCTCTAAAGCGGATTGCCACGGTGTGCCAGGTGTATGCCTCTAAAGCGGATTGCCACGGTGTGCCAGGTGTATGCCTTTAAAGCTGATTGCCACAGTGTGCCAAGTCTATGCCTTTAAAGCTGATTGCTATGGTGTGCCAAGTGAAAGCCTTTAAAGCTGATTGCTACGGTGTGCCAGGTTTATGCATCTAAAAAGTCCTGCATAAAAATAATTACAACTACTTTTAATCAATAGATATATTAAAAAGAAAAGAATCAATGATCTTAAATTTGGACACACAGAAAACCAAACTGAATCAGGATATGGTGGCTATACATAAAGTATGGCATACTTATGTATGGCTACCATGTCCTGATTCATTTTATTTTGTGTGTGTCCAGATTTGAATCATTGACCCTTTTAATTTGAATATAAACCTTGTTTAAAAGTTTAGTTAACCATTCTTATGCAGGATTTAGTTTTTCCTTATAATTAGCGTGTTATGTAAACAAGTGTTTCTCTCAGTATTTTTTTATATATTACGTAGTAATCGATGAGTGGTTGATAAGAAATCTGGTGAAAACGCTGAAAGATAAACCAAAAAAGAAGGATCTTCTGCAGACGAAACTGACAACTGAAGAAATATTGATGAAAATCCTTCAACAAGTTTTCGATTATCATAACAAGAAAAAGTAGTAAGAAAATAGGATTCTATTTAAAATTCGGGTTTACGTGGAAAAGTGACAAAGGAGGCTCCACGTCCGCAGTGTCTTATTTGCTGTGAAATTCTCACAAATGAGAGTAGCTACCAAACAAATGACTTTGACATATTGAGACAAAGCATGCACATCTGAAAAAACAAGCCTTTTTTCCAATTAAAGCAAGCTAATAAAAAATTGACTAAAGCCATGCATGCCTTACACCTCTGTGGTTTGTGAACTGCAAAATCTGTCAAACCTCACACCATTGGCGAGTCATTAGTACTCCAAGCAACAAAAGATGCTGTTTGGGAATTATGTTTGGTGACTGTGACGGACCGCCGTCACTAAGTACTATGCCCATTGCATATTCGTGTGTTTTCCTCTTGTATCGTGTGGTCCCTCTGTGTTTCTCCATGTATTTATGCCTTTGGTGTATTGTGCCTGTATATGCAGCAGCTCTGTAAAGTATAGAAGTGAAATGTGCTAGCTGTGTCTCTCCCCCTTCCTTTTCGTGTCACAGCAGGACGTTGCCACAGAGACACTGCCAGCCCAGTTTAACCTAGATGCATTGTTCTTCCTCACTCCCTCTTCAGCTTCCTGGGATTGAAACCCCTGTTGCTTTTGTGTTGGAGACCCCATGTAGGGGTCTGTGTCTGTAAAAACCATGCATACAAAATAAACAAAGTAATTCAGTGTTGTAACCTCCAGGACTGTATTTCGTCCAGTTACTGGGGGGAAAATGGATTCCTGCTTGTTGTAAGGGTGCCTAAACGGCTGAAGGAAGGGAAATAGCGGAGGTAACTTGTCGGGTTACCCGTGGTCCTCTACAGTGACAGCAGCTTGAAAGTAGTTGAATTAATTCCAGTTTCCAATAACATGGTTGCACGCAGAAGAGCAACTTATCGACTGATTCAATGCGATTAATTTTTTTTTCTGCAATTGGATGAATCAACAGATATACAAGTCTCAACTAAATGGTTTTATCTGTTTTATATTGAAAAATGAGCATGAAGATATAATATATTTTGTGAACCAGTTATTGGAGGTACGGGTGAGTACATTTTTGGAAGCGACACTTATGTAAAATCAAATAAAATGAACTGGAAAGATTGTGTTTGTATATTTACCGACGGTGCACGCGCAATGTGTGGTAAAAAAAAAATTGGTGTATTGAATGCATCATGGATGCACTGTAGTCTTCAGAAGATTTGAAAAAAAAAAAAAAAAAAAAATTTTTAAAATACTGCTGTGAAAATTATAAACTTCTTCAAGAGCAAGCCATTACAGTCACGCTTATTTAAAAAACTTTGCTAAGAGATGTGAAGTTTTGCATACTGAAGAGCGTCGGCTGTCGAGGTGTTGACAATACTTGATGAACTCCGAAAAGAAGTCGCAATGTTTCTGGATGGACTAAAAGATTACCCAAAATCTTTGCATGATGAGAAGTTCCCTCTGAAGCTCACTAATTTGGCAGATGTATTTTCAAAATTAAATGAACTAAATTTATACTTACAAGGAACAGATGGAGTTGATATATTTGCAGTACATGATAAAATGTTAGGTTTTACTGTAAAACTTTATTTATGGAAAAAAGTATGATTGCTTTGAAACATTCACAACTTTTACAATTGAAAATGAACTGACATCAGCTCACGACAATCTCTGTAATAGTTGCACATCTAGACTTGTTGAAAGAAAGTTTTGATAATTATTTCAGTAAAGAAATTTAAACACCTGGATTGTGCACCTATTTCAGAGTATTGAAGTAGCTACTGATATATCTACAAAGGCAGATGAAAAATGTATACATTTTAATTTTGATCGTAAAAAATGTATACAGTTTTCAAAATACGTATCTAACCCTTTCTACCGCAGCTTTAATAGTTCTGCTTCCTTTTACTACTTTGTAGATGAGTGAAGTTGGATTTTTGGCAATGATAGGAATTAAAAACAAATTTTAAAATAAACTTCAATTATCAAGCACCTTGCATCTAAAGATAACATGTAAATGTGGACGTCAAAGACGTCATCAGCCACAATAGAAAACAAGCCCATTCTTCACATACACCTCATTATGTATCTGCTTAATAAATGTATAAATCAAGTGTGTTCAATAAAAAAATTAAAAGTAGTAAACTGATATTTTGTTATCACCCCCCTGTTTCCCTACAGTGAGTGGGTTTTCGAAAGTGGGTCTTGGCAATACTGAGCTAACGGAAACTAAACTGAAGGTTACAGATTTAAAAACGAGTAAAACTAATCCTGCAATTTAATTCAATTCTAACGCATGATAGAGGCTTTTAGCCATCCTTTGGTTATAAGAAATAAAGGAAATCGACAAATATGGTAAAATGTAATTGTCGCATATCTTTATTTATATCTCTGGGTACATTGTAAAAGTTTTACTTTATGTATTGCACGTGATAGAAGAGTCTATGGACATCTATAATGTGAAACATCAAAGGTGCTGGATTCTCAATGCTGGCTCCTCAATGTCTTTTATTTCAAAGAGATCACTATTTTTGTGTTTTGAGTGTCATATTACACACTCTATAGTTTAATAATTAACATTTGCCATAACCGTCCCTTAAATATATTTAGAATTTCTAGAATGCCTTACTAGTCAATTTCTCACCCCAAATACTTCTCAGAGCACTCACCTTCTTTTATATGTTTTCTCATATGTGGAGTGTGTGATTTCATCATCATCTTCAGGTTCCTCTGGTACGTTGCAATCTCTGTTTTGGCAAAAACAAAACTATTACACAAGACATCTCAACAGTTTAAAAAGTGTATATATCTATTACACATTACACCTACCTGAACTGCGGGTCAGGGTTCATATAGCAATACCACTTCATAGGAAGTCTTCCCATTGCGTCCGGGAGTTTTCTCCACTTAAGACAAGAATCACACTGAACCCAATTCTGATCAGGTTTTTTCCTAAAAAGAAAAAGAAAAATATAAATAAATAAATAAAAATTCCAAACAAATGTGATCTAGAAAAAGTTCTGTGGAATGGGTGCTTAAATTTAGATGTAAGTGTGTCCACTCTCCCATATCAGGGTATATACTATTTAATTTAATTAACAATCCACAATAGAAACCTAGAATGTGACGGCAGATAAGAACCATTCGGCCCATCTGGTCTGCCCAATTTTCTAAATACTTTCATTAGTCCCTAGTCTTATCTTATAGTTAGGATAGCCTTATGCCTATCCCACGCATGCTTGAACTCCTTTACTGTGTTAACCTCTACCACTTCAGCTGGAAGGCTATTCCATGCATCCACTATCCTCTCAGTAAAGTAATACTTCCTGATATTTTTAAACCTTTGTCCCTCTAATTTAAAACTATGTCCTCTTGTTGTGGTAGTTTTTCTTCTTTTAAATATAGTCTCCTCCTTTACTGTGTTGATTCCCTTTATATATTTAAATGTTTCTATCATATCCCCCCTGTCTCGTCTTTCCTCCAAGCTATACATGTTAAGATCCTTTAACCTTTCCTGGTAAGTTTTATCCCGCAATCCATGAACCAGTTTAGTAGCCCTTCTCTGAACCCTCTCTAAGGTATCAATATCCTTCTGAAGATACGGTCTCCAGTACTGTGTACAATACTCCAAGTGAGGTCTCACCAGTGTTCTGTACAATGGCATGAGCACTTCCCTCTTTCTACTGCTAATACCTCTCCCTATACAACCAAGCATTCTGCTAGCATTTCCTGCTGCTCTATTACATTGTCTGCCTACCTTTAAGTCATCAGAAATAATCACCCCTAAATCCCTTTCCTCATATGTTGAGGTTAGGACTCTATCAAATATTCTGTACTCTGCCCTTGGGTTTTTACGTCCAAGATGCATTATCTTGCACTTATCCACATTTAATGTCAGTTGCCACAATTCTGACCATTTTTCTAGTTTACCTAAATCATTTGCCATTTGGCTTATCCCTCCTGGAACGTCCACCCAGTTACATACTAAGATTTGGCTTATCTCTCCTGGAACATCAATCCTGTTACATACCAAGATATGTAACAGGGTTGATGTTCCAGGAGGGATAAGCCAAATGGCAAATGATTTAGGTAAACTAGAAAAATGGTCAGAATTGTGGCAACTGACATTTAATGTGGATAAGTGCAAGATAATGCATCTTGGACATAAAAACCCAAGGGCAGAGTACAGAATATTTGATAGAGTCCTAATCTCAACATATGAGGAAAGGGATACTACAATTATGTACTATACAATTGAGCTTAAAGTGCTAATTTGTATGTAAATGAGTAAGATCAAACTGACATTCACAGTGATGTGGTAAGATGCGTATAGTTACAGAATAGTAAATTGTATTATGGTAAAATATGTAGTTGCAGAATATACGCTTATTTCTTGAGTTTCCCTGTGTACAGAATGAGTCATTGAAGCCAATTAATAATGAGCATGTCCCAAAGCTCTGGCACCTCTTCCTAATTAACTTTCTACATAATGAAAATCACAGCCCTAATTTGATTAGCTTTTACTCCGACTTGCCATCTTAATTAGATCTACAGTTTGGGACTTAACTCCCTCTTCATCTCTCTCTACCTGATGATCTAATTGCCTCCTTAACTAACTTTTCACGTATGATCTAATTTAGATTACTAAACCAATTATCTTCTCCATACAATCCAGTTTATTCAAAGTTACCTTGAACAGTCTATCACATATTTGTTTTATGTTGGCTTTAAAATGTTCATGTGTTTAATCCCATGTGAAAGTTACAGCTTCCTCAAAGTTGTGGATTTAGTAGGTTACAAAACGGAATATTAGTTCAGCATCAGTGGATTGAAGAGCAAGTCTCTAGTCTGTATTGCAGAAGAAGACACCATTTACCCAGCTGTACTCAAAGACCTTGCTATACGGTTGGCAGCTAATGCAGCAGATGTTAATCGTTGGAGATGCCCAATGGCTAGTCAATAAATCATGCTAGGTGTTGGATCACTAGATCTTCCCCCCACACATACAAATGTCAGGAACGAAAGTAACACATGTTGCATCCATGAGTACCTATGTACCAAAGCAAATTCCATTTCTTCACTTACTGTATATCTTCTACAGGAACACTTTGTGGGTTAATATTTTTCTTCACTTTCATTTCATTCCAGTAGTCATTAAGCTTTTCACCTAGTGCAGTTAGAGTAAGTCTGAAAAGAAAAGAAGATATCTAACTATAGCTTAACTCACCTTCACAGCTTTGCAGAGTTCTTACTAATGTATACTCTTATATACAATTCACTAGACTTGTGCATTAGGATTCAGACAAACAGCAATTTGGATGAAAACTGCCCAATTTGGTTGTTCAACCGAATAACGAATGACTGAATTAAACAAGTTCCGAATCGCATAATGGATGCAGTTCATGTGATTAAAAGAATTCATTGATTCAGGACACTGAACGATAAAACACTTTTTTCTTAAATTTGATCCCCCCCAATTTGGTACCCTTCTATGGGATTGCTGTATACTCAAAACATCTAAAGCACTTTAGCTTGCTGAAGTGCTTTATGCATGCAGAATGTGTCCTTTTAACCCCTTAAGGACCAAACTTCTGGAATAAAAGGGAATCATGACATGTCACACATGGCATGTGTCCTTAAGGGTTTAAAAAAAACATTTTTTTAACATGAATTGCAGATTTCAGTAGCGATTGGTACTTTAAAAATTAACTGTGTCACACACCCCTGGCTGTTATTCAAATAACTGGTCCTGTTACTGGTTGTTTAGCAGACTGGAACTAAACTCAGGATGCAGGCAATTGCCCAGATCATCTGCCTTGCAAAGATTTCTCATTGAGTAGAATTGGGAAGTCTCTGATTGGACAGCCACAGAAAGTCTGGGTTTGGATAAGAGGAGAGTTTGTAAAGACAGCAGACAAGAGATCTGAAGCTTTTGCAAGCTGTTTTTAGATATAACCTCAAATAAGGAACAGGCATAATTAAATGCACGCATGCATGTTTTCTCTGAGGGTATATTTAGTATATAGTGATCCTTTTTACATTTTTGTTTCATATGTGGGCAGTGGAGTGTCTCTTTAAAGGATACCAAATTAGAGAACTGCAGTAGACAGGTTGCCTATTTGGTATCCATAAATATGGCAATTCCACATAAAGGTACCAAACCAGGAAGCCATCTACTACACAGCTAAAAGATAAAAGTAAAAAGCTTGAGAGCACTTAGTCCAATTCATCTCAAGCAAAAAATGGAACCAAATTTATTGAACAAACTGAATCACTCAATGGATGCAATTCAGTTTGCCCAAACAAAAATAAATTTTCAGTCATATCAATTCGGACAAACCAAATTTTTCTGCTGTGAATAGAAAGTGCCACTCTATAGAATTTAGATTGCACAACAGGATCTCTACAAGTTCTCCAGCTAAACAGGTCGAAATTCAAAACAAGAATGTTCATGAACTGGTTCACAAGGGACATTATGAGAGGTTGTGTAAACACAGTTATTTAAAGGGACACCATAGTCACCAGAACAACTACAGCTTAATGTATTTGTTCTGGTGAGTATAATAGCTTCCTTCAGGCATTTTCATGCAAACACTGCCTTTTAGAGAAAAGGCAGTGTTTACATTGCCCCTAGGGACACCTCCAAGTGGCCACTCCTCAGATGGCCACTGGAGGGGCTGATTCCTGGCTCAGGGATGCACAGTAAGCAACCCTGCCGCTCAGCATCCCCACGCTCTGCATTGAAATGCTGAATTTTCCTCATCGAGATGCTTTGATTCAATGCATCTCTATGAGGAGGTCCTGATTGGCCAAAATGATTTTATGTGGTGGTTTAAGCACTACAGGGTCAGGAATACATGTTTGTGTTCCTGACCCCATAGTGATCCTTTAAAATATATGTGTATTACAAAACACAAAAGAATAAAAGACAACGTTAATGAAAGAGAAGGGAGGATGTTCAGTGCTGTTCAAGTTAAAACCCAAATAAATGAAAGCATAAATTACAAAAAATTATGCAAATCAAAGACACAGAAAAATACAAGTGAGGACATGTGCGTTTCAATCTAATATCCTTCACAGGGCTTTTGGGAACTAATGCTTCACATATTTCTGCACATTTAGTCACTGTTTAAATAACACGAAGAAAGGGATATAATGGAAAAGCTAAGGCAGGGACAGCTGTTTGGTTAAAATATATGATTATATATGATGAGCCGCTTACTGCATACTATAGGGTGTTCAATAAACTTAGACACAATGTTGCTCTTTGTGACCACAGTGCGTGTTTCTCAAAGGTGTAAGTGTATATTTGGTCTCTTATGGTTTTGTTTTCCATTCTATAGATTGGTTTAATAGTTCTGAGAGGAGTCTGTGTCTGACAGCTGCTCACACAGAACTTTTCAATGTGAATCAAAATTCAAAAGTCGTTCTAAAGGCACCAAGCATGTTTGAAATAACTTAGGGGAAGGCACCCTAAGAGCGCTTTTATTGTCTACATCCTGTGAGTGCACAAGATTACTGCGCATGAAATATTGTGTTTTATAACAATATCACACTATGTTTTGTTTTATGTTTTCTCTGTAGATTTACACAGCCATATCCCGAATCTTCTTTGTTCTGGTTAATACTATATATGATATAGGTCGCTTGTTTGGGTAGCGACCTAGGGAGGCTGTCATACGTCTTTATAAGCTAAGTACTATTGCTTTTTATATCATTTATCTTCTGTATATTGTTTGTGATATACCTATAAGCTATTGAGAGGAGTCTGTGTCTGACAGCTACTCACACAGAACTTTTCAATGTGAATCAAAATTCAAAAGTCGTTCTAAAGGCACCAAGCATGTTTGAAATAACTTAAATATCTGGCACTTATTTCCTAAACAAGTCACAATATTTACCCCAAGCAGACCCTGCTATTGGAACCTACATTTTCCAATGATTTTTCATCTCTGTGTTCATCCATTTAAATTAAGGATACAACTTCAGAAATAAAAGGGAATCATGACGGAATATTTCCGTCATGTGTCCTTAAGTAGTTAAAGATTTTCTTTGCTCAGTTTAAAATCAGATTAGTTAAAGAACATACCTGTAATCATTTGTATAGTCAAAATCTTGCTTATTGTGAGTTGGCTTTAAAAAATTGCATTCAATGACTCCAACAACACCGACTCCCATATTGTTTGCCTAAGAATAAACATGGGGATACAATTATGGAAATGCCCAACAATACAGAAAAAGAAACAATTAAAAAAAAAATTTTTTTTTTTTTTAAATATATTCGTATAAAAACTCACCTTTAACTGGCAGCCCACCTTGACATAGGCTTTGATGAGTCTGTTCTTATGGTACATCATTATTCCATAATGCTCCTTATTGCGACAGTTATATCCAAAAGTAATTTTCACTGTTTTGGGCTAATCACATTAAGGAAAATTAATTCAAATATATTTAAAAAAAAAAAAGTGGCTGAGTGAATTTTACACTCAAGTCGTATATATGTGATACAAAATGGAGACACTACAGTTTTGTAGATGTGGATGTAGAATGTGTACAGAACAATGATGGTTAACCTTAGGGATTTGTAAGGATTTGTAAACTATGATTCCCGTCATGCTCAGGTCGCCCTTAGATGGTACAGTAAAATCGTCTAGATCAGACACTATTAGACCAGTAAAAGTGGACCCTTATTGGTGGAGTCTCTTTTTTTATCTGAACATTCTGTGGTGTTTTCCCTCTTAATTAGCAGCAGCAGGAACATAGTATGTTATTTTATTATCTACATACTAAATAAAATAGACTGTCTGGGGTGTCCCTTTAAGTATCAAAAAGGAGTGTTAATCCTATTATAAGCAGAGCACACCAAGACAAAAAGTAGCTCTATTAAAAACTATTTTGTTTAAAAAGGTACCTGCTGAAATTGCCAGAACAGATGCCAAAGAAACAAGTTTAAAGGATCACTATAGGCACACAAAAAAACCTTAGCTTAATTAAGCAGTTTGGTGTAGAGACATGGGATTCCGCAGGGGGTGGCAAGGGGGAATCTGAGGGCCTGACTGAAGAAAGGGCACTGCTGCCCACCGACTGAGTGGCACAGTCTGCCGGCCGCCCAAGTTCAACATTAGACTCCACTGTAGTCTCTATTGGAGCCTGGAGTGGACTCTTTCTAACAAAGACTGTCTAATGGACACTAAGACGGCTTCTGTTAGAGAGACCCCTCTCTAGTGCTGTGGCAACTGCTGTGAGTGCTACGTAGTGCTGTGGCAAATGCTGTGCATGCTAAGTAGTGCTGTGGCAAGTGAAACCAGGTGCTGTGGGTGCAATATGGTGCTATAGCTGGATATATAATGTTATTTTAATATATACATTTCAAAATAAACACTTTTGCCATAGATTTTATTGTATTGTTTTGTGCAAGTTAACACCAAACGCAGATTCTCCATTTATTTTTTATAATTCAGTGATTGTGCCTTGATTATGGCTGTATGACTAATGTGATGGATTGAATAGTATATAAATCAGACAATTGTACTCTGTATGCCCATGTGTATATATCAAACCCCTGCAGTCTCATTGCTCAATTCTCTGCCATTTAGGAGGTAAATCATGTTGTTAGTGCAGCCCTAGATACACCTCTCCTGGCCATGACTCTCAGTCTCCCTAAACACTTGCTGTAATACGATATTCTGTGTAATTTACAATTTTGTATCTCCTATTCTAAATAGCCTTCTAGACCCTGACGGAGCCTCCTGTGTGCCATTTAATTTACAGAGCAAGCTATAAAAACTTCTAAAATAAATTAACAGCTGATTGAAAATTAAACCATTTTGTTTTCATGCCGGTTGTTTGAGTCACATCCAGGGTAGGTTTTACTAGGATTGCATAAACAGAAACTAAAGGAATTTAATTTGTAAATGGCAGAGAATTGAGCAGCGAGACTGCATGGATATGATCTATAAACCAAAACTGCTTAATCTAAAATAGTTGTGCCTCTAGTGTCCCTTTAATCTTCTCATAGAGGTAGATTGATTTCAATCCTGTACAAAATAAAACTGTGGAGTGAAAAAGAAAAACGGGGAAAGTAAAATGAAACAGGCAAAAAGGAAGAAAGTAGTAGAGCGAACTGGACGCACAGAAGGATGTAGCTTAGAGATCTACAATTAATGCTTTTACTTATTAATAAACAATATTTTGAAATGCAATCATACATAATCAGAGTGATATTAGGAGGCTAGTGGTGAAACTCAAGATCTGATGATTTACATTAAACAGATGGTTATATCTTCCCATTCCTAATGTTTTCTTCTACCTTCACCACTCATGTCGAAGGGTAGTAATGCGTGTTTGGTTTTTCACAATAAATTAGAATTATCAGTTAAGCCGCAATCCCCCTAACCACCATGGATGTCTTATATGATTTATAGAGATCCATAGAAAATGTATCTTTTTTTTATTTTAATCCAATAGTTTTAAACTGGCATGCTGTTCCTATATAGAATATAGTAACATCAGAAAATGAAATATAGAATTGAAATGAACCAATACATTATGCCAACACACTTCTTGAAAACCATAACCGCATAAGGATACAGCAAGAAATTTGGGCCTGTAGACGTCTTTCTCTATGTGCGCAAGACTTTTAGAGACCAACTGTGTTTGAACCTTCTGTTGACGTAAAATAATCTGCATCCGCGGCTTTAAATACAAAATGCTACAGTATGCCTGTAAAAGACAAAATGAAATGACACATGTAATGACTGGACACAGAACAGTTTACTTACAGCTCAAACCAACTACAGTGCGAATTAACAGGGTAATTACTGGAACAGGCTTGAGTGCACTAGAGTGGAACATATGACTACAAAAACCATCAGTCAATAACTGGTATTCATACATTCTTTAGAACTCTATACAATATGTATCACATAATGGAGGTATCAGGGGCATGAGCCATGTTAGATTTATAGCATCAGGGTAATCTATTAAAGTGAGCATTCAAAATAAATACAATAGGTGTTAATCTAGACAGTAGTTCAAGAGGGAAATCCCAACTTAATTAAAAAAATAAAATTAAAATAAAAACTGTATTTTGTTTAACCCCTTAAGGACACATGACATATGTGACATGTCATGATTCCCTTTTATTCCAGAAGTTTGGTCTTTAAGGGGTTACATTGAAGCTGGGTGGCTTAATATTTTCTAGTAATGTGGCTAGCACAATGTATAAAATAACTCACTGCTCAAATTTATTTCAACTTCAATTAGTTTTTACCTTCTGTTATTTTCTAGAGTTTTTGCTTTATAATCAGACAGTTGTGAGAAGTCAAATGTCGTGGTGGTCTATCCATAAGGGCATGGCCAAATTAACTTTGGGACTAAAGGAGCTGTTGTTCCAGTCATATGCTTAGAATGTCCAATAGATTTAAAAAAAAAAAAAAAAATGTAAAAAATTACTACTACTAGATTTTCTGGGACACTTAACTACCTGGGGAGCTTGTTGTGGGTGTAATGTGCTCACCTCACTTATTTATTTTTAGTATCAAGTATCAACTTAACATTTGCAATATAATAGAAGAACCCCACACAAAAGGCAGCTTTAAAAAAAAAAAGTTAAACGTGTGTGTGGGGGGGAGGGTGTCCAATTGTGTCATACAGCAGTTTAACTGGCCTGGCATTTGAATCCAAGCGCAGGTGATTTTTTTTTCCCATCTCATTAGAAATAATTATTTTAGCCACTAGTCTAGCTCACATGCAGGAGTGCAAAGTTTAACCCCTTAAGGACCAAACTTCTGGAATAAAAGGGAATCATGACATGTCACACATGTCATGTGTCCTTAAGGGGTTAATAAAGTCTGTGAATCACACAGCCTTTGCTCGACATTGTCAGCAGAAAGGTGGGTTTCCCGAAAAGTGCAGGAGTTTTAGTAGCAGATTTCTATTAACGCATTGTCCTGTATGCTGTCAGGTGTAGTTGTAGTAAAATCTGCACCATGGGCCAAATGTTTCAAAGAGTGCATGGAGGAGTCTTGAGTCCACATTTTACGACATCTTAGGACAGTATGCAAAACAATGCTTTATTTTTTTGTTGTGTAAAAGAATTGCCTGAGAGAGCAATGGCACCAAAATAATGTTAAATTGGGGAATGGCAACCGACGTGGATCTATTATGTAGAAAAGAGACTAGATATGCTATAAAAAGGCAATGGGATGCTGGAAAGGGGATCTGTAATGGGAAATTGCACAGTTAATGCTGGTAAGGGGATCTGTCACAGATAAAAAGCTACAGGAAAAGGGACATGTTATGGAGACAGGTTAGAAGTGATGGATCGTTACAAGAGTGGAGTTTAGACCCCCGGCATCTTAAAACCTTACCAGACACCACTGGAATAGATTATGGATGCAGTGAGAGCACTAATGCAGTGAATTTCAGAAACATAGCTGGCATGAGTTGTGATCCAGACACAAAACTCATTTTGTAGCTTTACGAAATGCTCAGAGGTATAAATTTAAACTATTATTATTATTATTATTATTATTATTATTGGGCCAATGTGGGAACTCTTCCTAATACACCCCAGGACCCTAAGATCAACTTCGACTCTTCATGTTTAAAACATGTAAAAGCTGAAAATGTGAGACAAAAGCAAGTAGGAGGCTACACATTACTTATAACAGCTAATCATTTCATAATATAATATAAAAAAAAAAAATGATGTGCTTTTCCCCACTTGTTACCAAAAGCTCCTCTTCATCAATAATTGCTATAACAATGACTCCAGAATGTATGCGGATGTTGCTCTTAAGTTGAGTCATTGCGCTATAATTAATTAGCTTTACACTATAGTGCTGGGTGGGGCAGATGTAAGAGCCGCTTGAACGATCAGAATGTGTCACAGACTGATCTATCCGGGTGACACATGGAATCGAAACAAGTCTTGATCATTAATCTTACTCTTTATTTTGACTGTTGCCAAGCAACAGCCTAATAACTAAAGATATACATGGAAGAGAGAGAAAAGCCAATTTACATATATAATATAATTATATATACATATATAACTTCCTCTTTCATTTGAATATTTTCCAGGGCTTCATGTTTATTCTATTTTCATTACAAACATTTCCAATTCCAACACCTGTATATCACCTACTAATGGTCATTTCCGGGCGCTCCACAGTAACTTCTTCACCAACCAATACTGTGGCATGCATTGACTATTGCAAAGAAGCAACTTTGCTAAATGTTCCCAAACATCATAATCTCTCCGTATTTTCATAAAACACAAACTGGGGTTTGCAGGTAAGCAAAGAAGCAGTTTACATTTGGGTAGTTACAAGCTTATCATATCTGCATAGTTAGCTATCCCTTCATATACTGTTACCATATATAAAAAAAAATTAAAAAAATGGGCTTATTGTAGCTATAACGGACATTTAAACAAAACTTCTGCGTGTGGCAAACCTTACTTACTCTCAGAGAATAATCACTGTCAGGAGCAATCTGGTCAACTCTTTCCTGCTTTTTGTAACCTCTTTTCTGCGTGCCGTCAATCTCCTCAGGAATCCTAATATCATACTTATCAGACTCAAAATCAAACTCTGGAGATCCACGTTTCTCCCTAAGAATAAAAAATAAAAAAAAACACAAACACTTCGGTCAATCAGAAAGTTAAAATGATGGTTGTTTAATAAACAGCTTTTATTTCCACAAGTTCTATACGATCATAAACCATTTTGTTAATGTGTTTTCTCCAAATTTGACTGTCTGAATGAATCTTATCAGATACAGAAAGGAAATAAAAATGGAGAAAAATACAACTTTGGCACGCTTTAAGTGCAATCTATGCTCCTATGCTGGTGCAGGACAATCTGCTGCCCTGGTCATCTTGCACAAATTAACTTAGAACTGCAATGATTTGCAAAATTAATAAATAAATCAAATTAATTATTCACACACATCACAAATATATATATTACCGTGCATTAACGGCAACTAATTCTTTCATTTTATGTTTTACGTTTTCATACACTGCACCTTTAACATATCAAATTATTATGAAAATGATTACAGATTGCTCTTTTAATAGTTTGATAGTTTAAAGAAAAGAACGGTTCTCATTTGTTTACTGCCATTTATTGGACTTCCATTCAGGACAATTACTTAACTAGTATTTGCGGGCATGCTAATAGTTACCAAACTAAAGCTTTTTGACAGCTTTATTTTTTTTCTATAAAAGACACAATAACAAGTGCATTTTTAATTGGTATGGATTATTTTGTTCCCAAAGCCAGTCCTTTACTAAACATTATAAGCTAGGAATAAATTATTGCATTTACTGGGTTGTATTCTTTAGAAGTGTATTTTCATTACATTGAATTATGATAACTTTTGGGGGCATTACCCTTTATACAACACTTGGTTTGCACGGGTTTTCTACATATAAAAAAAAAAAAAACCTTTAAATCAATGCTCACCTGCGCAATCTCCATATAATTATTCTTGTCCCCTTCTTACCAATAATGGCGTCTAGTTCTGCCAACAATTCCCTTTCACTTGAAAGCAGTGAATGCTTTAAGATTGCTTCCAGGTTAGCGTCAGAATCTGCTGTATTTGCAAGCTGCCGTCAAAAAAAGGTTAAGAAAATTCCAGAATACATTGGGGAGACATAAATAAATGAACTCTAAACCAAAGGAGAATATATCCTCCCTGTCATATTTTTACAGATTGTCATGACAAAAAAATTTGTACACACCTTATTTTGTACACCTAATAAAAAGGCTAATGAACTATAGAGGAGTGATGGACCATTATTGAGTTCTGGATCCTGGATGGTTCACTGCAAGGTGGAGTCATGGGCCAGGTACTAAGGTGCCCATCCAACACTGACTTGGTACTCACATTTTAAGTGCATCACATTTATATTTTCTTACTACGTCATATTTTGTATTTACTTGAATTTAATGTGCAATTACATTTTGGAGTAAAAAAGGTAACTATAATTCATTCTAGTATGTATTATAATAGTGATCACATTATCTCCATACAGAAAAGGATATTGTGTTTATTGAATGATATTATTGGGACCATGACATGTTCTGCACCGATCTTCTCCAAGAAGGTCTGGGATAACATGCCCACATGCATGCCAGAATCATTTTTAGTAAATACGATGGCATCTTTCCCCAGTCGCATGGATCCAGATTTGAAGCCGTTCCCATAAAGTCCGACTGGAACATGGCCGTGAACAGCTACTTTATCACTGAAGCCAAAGCTAAAAAGAAAAAATAATAATGTTTGGGCTTTTGTCATTAGGCACAAAAATGTTTGAGGGAAGAGAGAGGGGAGAGAGAGGGGGAGAGAGAGGGGAGAGAGGGGAGAGAGGGGGGGGAAGAGAGAGGGGGGAGAAAGAGGGGGAGAAAGAGGGGGAGAAAGAGGGGGGGGAGAAGAGGGGGGAGAAAGAGGGGGGAGAAAGAGGGGGAGAAAGAGGGGAGAAAAGAGGGGAGAAAGAGGGGAGAAAGAGGGGGAGAAAGAGAGGGAAGCGAGAGAGGGGGCAGAGAGAGGGGCGAGAGGAGAGAAAGGGGCGCAGAGAAAGGGGGCGAGAGAAAGGGGGCAGAGAAAGGGGAGAGAGGGGAGACAGAGAGGGAGAGAGAGAGAGGGAGAGAGAGGGGAGAGAGAGGGGGGAGAGAGAGAGGGGGGAGAGAGGGAGAGAGAGGGGAGAGAGAGGGGGGAGAGAGAGGGGGGAGAGAGAGGGGAGAGAGCTGGGAGAGAGAGGGGAGAGAGCGGGAGAGAGGGAGAGAGCTGGGAGAGAGAGAGGGGAGAGAGAGAGGGGAGAGAGAGAGAGAGAGAGAGAGAGAGGGGAGAGAGAGGGGAGAGAGAGGGGGAGAGAGAGGGGGAGAGAGAGGGGGTATAGTATAAGAAAAGCAAACATATATTCCAACGTCATAGTTTTACTTGACCCTGTGGTGGTTTAAAAGGAATTACATGGGGGTGGGGCCTAACCAGCATGGTCGACAGACGTGTGTGAGGTGAGCTCCTCACACAAAATAAGCAAAACTGGAAACAAACTGAGATGCTACCCCCAAAACAGCAGCCAACGAGATCGCATACCGTAACTAGCCGATGAGGACCCCTCTCAGGCGACTCCGGAGTCTCGCCCGCTGACCTGCAGCCAGAAGCCGCTTTTGTGGCCCACTCACGTTGAGGCTCCCACGGAAGGAGGAAACGGCCAATCCTCCACCCTGGGGCCGCCAGGCTAACACAATCAACCCACCCCCTCCTGAACCGGTGGGGGTCATCCCAAGAAAAGGCTGCCGAGAGCATCCCATTCATCTATGCCACCGCTTCCCGCTCCTGGGCCGCAACCAATATGGCCGACGCAACAGCTGCACGCTGCAACGGCGTGGGAAACCAAATATAATGACAACTTCGACAGGATCTGTACAGCGTTCTGGAACCAGATTGCAGCTCGTGCAGAGCAGGTGCAGCTGCCTATCACTCTTGTCCCACAGCCCCAAACAGAAGTTCTCACAGCGACCGGCCTCACCGATCCAAGACGCCCAGCCACACGCATGGCCGACGTTGCAGTCTCCGCCGCTTGCCCTTCTTCTGGGCTGGGTACTCACCTGGAGGTACCTCTCCTACACCAGCCATACACCCAGGGAGACCACCGGGAACTGGAGGAACTCTGGGTCCACGACCCTCAAAACGGGATCCATGTCACAAAAGCATGGAGTTCCCTTTAAGGCCTCAGGCCGAAGACACGTGGCACCCAGACTCCACAAGTCCATGATCAGCTGGAAGCAACCAACAACCAGGTCAGCTAAAAGACCCCCTGCCAAGGAAGGACCATCTAGAGGAGCATTGTGGATCCTTACTCATATGAGGGATGGACAGGGTCCCCCCACACGACCTGATAGCCAAGCCCCCCAAGACCACTGTGCTATCCCGCCCTGCAGAGGGGGTTGAGAACACTCACCAACGATCGTGCCTAGACCCGCACAGAAGAACGTACTGTACCCAGCAGCCGGCTCGTCTCCGTTGGTCTTGATTGTAATGTGTTTGCTTAGCCTGTATTTAACTGTAATGTATTTGCTTAGCCCGAATTAAACCCAGCATGTTTATTTTATCTCGTCTAGCTTGCATACCAGTCAAGTAAATTCATTTGTTTGGCGGGCATAACTAGTTCCAGATTGAATAGTACGCACTCTGCCATAGTTTTAGCCAGTCGTGTAACTTATCACACACGGATGTCAGGCACCATACGTGTTTATTTTATCGTCTGCCATACTGATCTGCTGCACATCTTATCATGACTTGCGCACACAGCATATTATACTTGTACTGTTTACAAGGCTAAGCCCTATTTGTCTTCTCATACTGTCTCTCACTAGATATTAACCATTATGTATAATGCACCTATCACATGAACCCACCGAGTTAGAGGTGAGGTCCTAAACTACATTACCTAACTAGTCTTTAATTTTTTAAAATGTGCCGTTATTGAATGCCACAATACTGTTTACTCTGTACACTGTTCTCCGCCTGCATCTGCTGTTGTGGCAGCGCAAGACTGTTTGTTAAACCATGCACTGCAAAAATAATAATAAAAAAATTTTTTAAAAAGGGAATTACGTACCTTTACTTCCTCGCTGCACTGGTCTCAGTGAGGCTGCTCCGCCTCCCTGGCAGAGATCATTAAGATGGTGAAATTAGCCAATACAATGCATCCATATAGGGAAGCATTGGATGGCTATTGTACAAGTGCAGTAAATTGTCTAGGAGCAGCATTTGATAGAGAACAGAGTTTTACTAGCCTCCTTCAAAACTTGTATTGTAGAAATCTAGCAGTTTAATTAAATCTACTAATGTGCCAGGTTTATTTTTCTGCAAAATCTCCATTGCATGTTCTAACTGTAAATTAAAAATTTCAGAGCTTGTACAGTTTAGTAAAGTGGGCAAGAAGGAAATAAATTTAAATTTTCCTTGTACATTGATCATTTCAACTTGTTTTGAACAGACTGTCAATGTGAAATAAAAGTGGTTTTAGGAAAATGGACACCTACCTGAGCATTTTATGAAGTTTATCAAGATTCATGCCATTACCATTGTCCGTAAACGTCAAACACATGTGGCCTTTCATGGTGGTTTTATCAATCCACAATTGTTTTGCATTGACATCAGGATCATAGGCATTATCTAAGCATGGAGGAGAAAACCAGAATAGGTTAGATGTTGGATATATGTACATAGACGTACTTCACATCGTTACTTTGCTGAACTAATTGCTGATAAACACACACACAGATTATATATACATAATACACACATAGCTCAAAGTTCCCACTCACTATTGGCAAATTATTTTCCAAGTTTTGCATGGCATTTTAACTGTGCATGTCATAAAACAGTTAGCTTTTACTGCAATGAAATGCACATAATATCTGTTCAGTGATGTGCCACGAGTATGTACAGGCCCCGGAATTAAAATTACCCCCATCATGGCACACCATTTGCAAAAATAGACAACTAGTGGTATTCAAAATGGGATATGTCCAAGCTTTCTTAGTAGCCACTTAGTCGCAAACTCTGGCAAACACTGTTCATATTTTTTTGCATTTTTCACATATAAACTACACTTTCACTGATGATATAATTGTTATGATTTGTTTTACTGTTTTCAAAGACTCATGTTTGTGTTCAGCGAAGTCTCCCCAGTACAACTGTAACCCGCATGTACAGGTTTTATGGTGTTTTGGAAAGTTACAGGGTTAAATATAGGGATTGCAAATTAAATTCTCTGGTATTTCTGTCTGGGCTGTTAGGCAGGTCCACCAATAAATAATTAAAAAAATAATATAAATAAAATACATGTATCCTTTGTGCAGAGAGAGCTGGCCTGCATTTTGGATTTGTTCTGCTATGCAAATGGCCTGATTCTTTTTGTAATGACACAAGATGAGCAAAAACCAGCTTGAGATCTGAGCAGGGACCCATCGAAGGGCAGGCTATTTTAGCAGTTGTCCGTTTAGAATCTTTATATATATATTGCGTGTTTACATGCAAAACCCAATTTCTAAGTGTATTTAGATATAAATATATATTAATACTTACAGTGTGTGTGTGTTAGTTTGTTCCCTCCCTCCCTCAAACACCACAGTATTGCAGTATGCAATGATAGCTTTTTGGTTTTGTTTTTTAATTGGACTAATCCAAAACTCAAAGGAACACTATAGTCACCAGAACAACTACAGCTTATTGTATTTGTTGAGTAGAATCTTTCCCTACAGGCATTTTGCTGGAAACACTGTCTTTTCAGAGATAATGCAGTGTTTGCATTACAGTCTACTGATACCTCTACTGGCCACTCCTCAGATAACTGTTAGAGGTACTTCCTGGGGTGTTGTGTCGTGTCTATATGAATTTGTGTGTCTGTGTATTTATATGCATGTGGTAGTGTATGTTAGGGATGCACCAAAATTTTGGCTGCCAAAATGGGCCTATCCTATCCCCTTGTCAAATTTGCTGGAAAAAAAAAATATTGTTTTGTTGTGCATAGTTTAACAGTCATGCTTGCATTAACAATTCAGATGATTATATATCACAATGAAAGATCGCAATGATAACATGGCAAGTCAAGAATACTGCACTTAGGATGGGGGGGGGGGAACACTAGGCATCGGGAGGGGGGTGAGGAACACCAGGTGTGACGGGAGGGGGTGAGGAACACCAGTGACGGAGGGGGCGGAGGAACACCAGGTGATCGGGAGGGGTGAGGACTAGGTGACGGGAGGTGGGGAACACTAGGCACGGGAGGGGTGAGGTTCACTAGGTGACGGGAGGGGTGAGGAACACTAGGTGACGGGAGGGGTGAGGAACACCAGGGTGACGGGAGGGGGTGAAGAACACTAGGGTGACGGAGGGGGTGAAGAACACTTGTGGTGACGGGAGGGGGTGAGAGGAACACTGGTGATTGGGAGGGTGGGGGAAACCTAGGTGACGGAGGGGGCGGGAAACACCAGGGGTGACGGGAGGGGTGGGGGGAACACTAGGTGACGGGAGGGGTGAGGAACACTAGGTGACGGGAGGGGGGAGGAACACTAGGTGACGGGAGGGGGGGTGAGGAACACAGGTGATCGGGAGGTGAAGAACACTAGTGACGGGAGGTGAAGAACACTAGGTGACGGGAGGGGTGAGGAACACTCAGGTGACTGGGAGGCAAATGTTACCAGTGACGAGGGATGAAGAACACTAGGGACTTGGAGGGGGTGAAGAACACCAGGGGTACGGGAGGGGTAAAAGAACACTAGGTGACGGGAGGGGGTAGCACCACTAGGTGATGGGGAGAGGGCGCGAAGAACACTAGGACGGGAGGGGTGAAGAACACTAGGGGACGGGAGGGTAAAGAACACTAGGGGACGGGAGGGATGAAGAACACAATGGGACAGGGAGGGACAAAGAACACAATGGACGGGGAACAATGGCCTGGGAGAAACACACTCAGACGGGGAGGAAACATACAAATGAGACGGGGAGAACACAATGAGACGGGGGAGAACACAATGAGACGGGGGGGAGAACACAATGAGACGGGGGGGAGAACACAATGAGACGGGGGGAGAAAACAATGAGACGGGGAGAACACAATGAAACGGGGGGAAGGGGGAAAGAACACTATGGGACTGGGGAGGAGGGAGGAAAGAACACTAGAGGGGGAGACAGGAACATTAAGGGGGGCACTAAAAGAGAAGGGAAGTTTTTCATATTCAATTAAATTCATTAAAAAGTCTAATATTAATAAAATTATAGGGAAACTTTTTTTAAAATCATTTGGGGAAAAAGTCATTTTCGGTTTCTGTTTTCGGCGAAAGCATCCTGAATTTTCGGTTTCGGACCAGAATTTTAATTTCGGTGCATTCCTAGTGTATGTGCATACATTCAAGCAGTCAAACACCAGCACAACATACAAGCACACTCCTGCAAGCTAACACATATTACATACACACCCCTGCATTCAAACTCAAAAAATATATACAAACACACCCCTTCACTGAAACACAAATACTTCCCAGAAATGTAAATCCACATTTAAAATTGAACATTACATTCAGACACACCCCTGCAATCAAATGCAAACATACCCCTGTATTAAAACACAATAAATGTATACAAGCACCCCTTCAAACAACAACACTGTACATTACACTATAGCGCTGATGTAGATTAATTTAGAAATAAACAAAAATGTTTAAAAGTCTATCTGTTCCTGTCCAAATCTGAGATGAATAAATTGCGTATACGCAGAAGTAAGTTCACACTGACACATGCAGTTCAGGTTAAAAACACTTCAGGAAATTTATTAGCATCTAGTTAAAAAGCGGGCACGCAGGCCTTTTTATATGCAAAATGACATCATCATTGAATATCAGATAATAACAAATAAACATCATTAATTGGGTTAAATGTTAAGTGGCTATGTCAGTGCCCACCCATTAATATTATTAATTGGCTCAGAGATTTGAGTGACTAGTGAGGAACCCTCCCATCATGGGATGTCATTGCTCTTTAGCACGAGGCTTACTCGGTGGAAAGGGGGGGCTTGGGCATCATTTTACGTAGTTAGTGATGTCAGTCTCGTGGTCTGGTCCAAGGTTCTTTTATGAATAGAACATTTCATTTAGTCGCTGTTCTCCTGGCCTTAGATTATACTATGTTGCAAGTCAACGGAGATCCGCTAACTCCGGGGCTAGTTATGTCCTTAGAGAGAGAAAATACAATCTCTTATTCATTATATTGAATACTGTCATGTAAGGTGAACAAAATGGAGAGTTCTGTCACAGTGTGAGATTAAAAATGGAGTTAGTACAATTATTCAATACAAGTTCAGTAAAGATTTTAATAATTCTACATCAGCGCCAGTACATGCCACAGCGCTGTACAGATATGCAACCTAGAAATTTTGACTTGGGGTGCCTTGGAAAAATACTGAAATATTAAGGGTGCCTTGAACCTAAAAAGTTTGGAAACCACTGATCTATACAGCAAAACAGCTTCATTAAGCTAAAGTTGTTCTGGTGACTTTAGTGTTCCTTTAATATCTTATCAGCATGCTGACCTAAATTATAGGCTTTTATAGCATCTATTGGCTTGCTCACTCAGATCTTTTTAGGTATAATATTTAATTTTGCCCCTCCATCAGTTTGTGTGCCACTACTCAGATATCACTTCAAATTTTGTTATGTGTTTTATATAGCTCCTTTTTGAATTATATTTTATACACTACACAATAAAAGCGATATTTTATTATTAAAGGGACACTAGACTCACAAGCACAACTACAGCTTAATGTAGTTGTTCTGGTGTCTATAACTTGTCCCTGCAGGCTTTTCTAATTAAATGGTGTGTGTGTGTATGTATATATATATATATATATATATATATATATATATATATATATATTTTTTTTTTTTTTTTTATTTTTTTTGCTGCATTGTAGCACCTATAATGGCAGTCACTCGGATGGCCACTAGAGGTGCTTTCCGGGTCAGTGCTGCACATTATGGTGCTGAACATTCTCCATAGAGATGCATGAGGATCTATGATCTTCTATGACAATAGATCATGATCTATGAGAAGATGCTGATTGGCGCAGTGCAGAATTTTGCGTATGTGCAATAGCTTCCAAATGCGTTCCTATGTGAAACCATTGAATTGGCCAAGATAATCATAATTGATGATCCAAGTCATGGAGGTAGGGCCAAGCGGAGCCCGCTGCCATGAGACCATCGTGGATATGGAAAAAAGTGAGATTAACCCCTTGAGGACCTATGACGGTTCAGGACCGTCATCGGAAACATCCCCTTGAGGACCGATGACGGTCCTAAAACTGTCATAATGGTATTGGGGTACTTACCTGATCACCGCCGTTTCACCGGCGCCGATCAGCGTTTCTCCCAGTCTGGGAGGGACTGCCTGTCTGACAAGTTAGTCTCCTCGCGGCAAATCAGGACCCCGGGGCCACGTGATCGCTGATCACGTGGCCGCAATAGGTGCCTGTGTATCTGCCTGCAGGGGGACTGTCTGTGCTCACAGGCGGTCTCCCTGCAAGTGTAAAATCAGAAAATAAAGTTTGCAAAAAAAAAGCCATCAGTGTAAAAAAACAAAATAATTAATATTATTAAGATATATATACACATACATGTAAAATATATATATATATATATATATATATATATATATATATCACATGTATATCTTATATACATAATGTCAGTGTATTTTCATATTTATATATAAATATATTAATATAAAAATACACTCATATTTAAATTACACATATATATTATAATAACTATATATATAATAAAATAATCTGTATATTTATATATATATATATATATATATATCTATATCTATCTATCTACACACACACACAAATAAAAATACGAAAAATATATATGTCCATATACATAATTACATACATATACACGTAGACTTCAAATATATAAATATGTATATATATTTAAATTCTAAGTGCATATTTATGTAATATTTTAACATAATTAAGTAATTGTTTGCAATCTGAGGGACATGCCTGACAACCCAGGCCAAAAGTCCAGAGAATTTAATTTGCTAGCACTGTGTTTAACCCTGTAACTTTCTATGACATCCTAAAACCTGTACATGGGGGTACTGTTTTACTTGGGAGACTTCGCTGAACACAAAAATTAGTGTTTCAAAACAGTAAAACATATCACAGTGATGATAGTCAGTGAAAGTGACATTTTTTGCATTTTTCACACACAAACGGCACTTTCACTGATGATATTATTGCTGTGATACGTTTTACTGTTCTGCAAAGTCTCCTGAGTATAACAGTACCCCACATGTAGAGTTTTTTTTTCCTTCATTGAAATTTGGCAGATTGGTTATGTTGCCTTTGAGAGCGTATGGTAGCTGAGGAATGAGAATTACCCCCATGATGGCATACCATTTGCAAAAGAAGACAACCTAAGGTATTGCAAATGGGGTATGTTCAGCCTTTTTTAGTAGCCACTTAGTCACAAACACTGGCCAAAGTTAGCATTTTTTGCATTTTTAACACACAAATATAAATGCTAACTTTGGCCAGTATTTGTGACTAAGTGGCTACTAAAAGAGACTGGACATACCCCATATTGAATACCCTGGGTTGACTACTTTAAAAAAAAAAAAAAAAATATGTACATGTGAGGTGTGATTCGGGGATTTATGACAGATAACAGTGTTACAATGTCACTATTGATACAGTTAAAAATTATATATATTGAAACAGCAATTTCTTACTTCTATTTATAGCCCTATAACATGCACAATTTCTATGGGAACCGTAAATGAGAGAGCGGAAAATTACAACTGAACACAAACACCACAAAAGTGTTAAAAGCGCTCTGGTCAAAACAGGCCAGTCCTTAAGGAGTTAACAGCTTTTCAGAGCAATCTTAAGGGAGGGGGAAACAAGGATCTAAACAGCCACACCAGCTCTGTAGTGTCAGTAATATATGTAAGTGTTTCTTTAAGGTAATTCTTCACTTGTAAACTGTTTATTTCCCATCTCCCTTATTACATATGGCCAGAGAGGGGGGACATTGAGAACCCTGGTGTTCCAGTTGTACTTCATAATTATAGCATGCAATCTCCTCTGATTACAGGGTGAGCACACTTCTTTCATGGCATTCTGGAATGTCGGAGCGTTGCTGTGGTAACTCGCAGCAACGCTCCAAACTACCAAACTCTCGAGGCAGAATGTTCTCCATCCAGCAAAAGGTCCAGGTTAGAGTCTCCTGGGTCCTCCCTCTCCTGCAATAAGGTGCCTTGAGCAATCTGATCTCCCACCAGCCCTTTAGATTGACAAAGGCCTCTGTGTAGGCCAAACATTGCACTTTTTTGTTCCTTTCTGCAGCACTGAGTGCCTGGACCTAATTTATTTTATCCACCAGCCCGTTAAGGCACACAGCTGATGCTACCAGGAAAGATCCTTTGATCCCCCCTGATGGACTCAGCCCATGGCCATCACAGCTCACTAGCAATTTTCCCATTGGCCAGTGTGGGCGGGTTAAAGAGTGGATCCAGATGCAGTGCACCTGCTAAGAGCTGACCCAGGGTTCCTGTGAGTAAGGGATACTGAGAAAGCTGCCAAAACTGGCATTTTGATGAAGGTGTCCGGCTAGGAATTTTTGTGGCCATAAAGCGGCTAAACTCCCATTTCAGAAAGGTGTTCTTATTTAGCCTTTATACATTTATAACTTGTTTACTATGTGGTATGCTGTTCCCTCCTGATTTTATATGTATAATAATATTATATATACACGCACATATTTTTTCACTTTTCAATATTGTGGCTATGCCAACTTTTACATTTCTGCCTAAACAGAACAGAAAAAACACTGGGACATTTTGGCTTTTTAACCTCAACAGGATAATATTTACATAAAAGAGATATTGAAACATACTTCCATTTCAAAATAATTATGAGAATACCACAAAACAAAAATGGCAAAAAATACATTTAAAAAAAAAACCAAAAACAAAATAAATATATTATATATATATATATATATTATTTACTATTATATGACCTGAAAGTTTGCATTGGAAAAATAAAAAAAAGGTTGCTAATGGTGCCTAGACAAAAACGTGTTGGAAATAAAAGGAATTCTGTCTGCCATTATTTTTATTCCTAGTTGGGTTTTGGAACTGGATTTTGATCCAAATGCCTTGTGCTGTGATGTGGCACGTTTGAGGTCACCCCATCACAGATATTTGTAGGAAAGATGAGGTTTCCTGTATTCACTGGCATTTGTGATAATGTAAGATTTCTGCCCAAACCCTGTTATTTTCACATTGCATCGATCAGGTTCAACAAACTCTTCAGGAAAGATTCCCAAACATGGAAAAATAATATAAATACTCTATGTGTAGCCAAAAGTAATGTAACAATAATTATACTCAAAATCACCATCCAACTTGGCAGATGTCCAAGCCTGTTACTACAGCAATTGCCTATTTGTGGCAGAATGTAGCAAAGCTGAGATCTAAAATACATCAAGATGCAATCTGGTGAGGTCCCCGGAACGTTACCATGGCAACTACAGTCAGAGTTTGGCCTGAGCAAAGAAACCGCATAAAATCAGGGACTCTCAAAGCCACAGGAAATTGGAAATGACTCCAGGGATGGGGAGAAGGCAGACTTTATAGTTATTTATAGGCAAATATCTAAAGCTATGGCAATAGTAGGCTCCCAGTAAGTTTTATTTAAAATCTAAATAAGAACGTTATTACTTTGATGGAGCAAACATCACAGTTCTAGGATATTATCACAAGCAACAAAACATATCAAAAAAGGAAAAGGAGAAAACAAATAAGATGTAGACAAAAGCTTCACGGAATTCTACCTTGTCCATTATATAGAATTGCTGTGTGTAGATAGATAGATAGATAGATAGATAGATAGATAGATAGATAGATAGAGAGAATATAGAGGAGAGAGAGAACATACAAACATATATTGCATATATACACTCATACAGATTTGATTTTTTTTTTCCTTTTAGTACATTGACAGACACAGAATTGTTCTGTGTAATTTATGTAAAATCAAGCTCAGTTGACTGGCAATGGCTCCAGCAAAAGCAGAACAAAGATTTTAGGAACTACTGGAACAATGGAATATCAGGACTTTCTCAATAAGCAGGGATGTGTCTAAACCTGGTCGTGAAGCAGTTACATTTAGGCAAACATTTTATATCACTAACAGAGGAAGTGTGATTTGCCAAGGGCAGCAGCCTCAGATTAACCATCTCCCCTAAGCAAATAAATAAACTAGTCCTAAATCCTACTAGATAAGTGTGAGCAGGTGCTGCTCAGGAGTGTATCTCTCCATAATACCAACCGGACCGGGACATGTATGATCCTTGCATTATTAACCCGGAGAAATAATTGCACAGATGACATCTCTATCCTTTCAGTAAGGGATTATAAAACATGACCTGCCCATAGATATGACGGGCAGATTATGACATTATATACAACTGGCAGAAGGGCTGCGCTCACCAGAACATGCATACTTTAGAAGGGTGCTGCTGGGACCAATTAATATAACATACAGGATTCATCACTCAATGTCAAATCACACCAAGTAATTTAAAACAACTGCAATGTGAAAATATTCATATTAATACATTAGCTTGCTGAAGTGCTTTACATGTGAAGAATGTGTTTTTGTATTCCATTTTACAAAAATAAACTTTGTTACCCCCATGGCTGTCAGTTCTGCTACTTCCTGGTTTGCTTAGACTCAGTGGAGCTAAACTCAAGAGGCAGCAATTGCCAGAGCATCTGCCTTGCAGAGACTTCTCATTGACCTGCTTTGGGAAGTCTGATTGGGCAGCCATAGAAAGTGTGGGCTGGAGAAGAAGGGAAGGACTTGCAAGGATGGGTCTAAAGACTGACTATCACTTGCATATTATCACTTCTCGAGGGTGAGAACTGCGATTTAACAGTCCTCAAGCCTTCCTCATATTTATAAACTGACCAAAATAGTGTGTGCCAGTCAGCAACATAAAGGCAGCATTTCAAATTACTCAAATGGATAAAACAGGAAAATAAGAAATACAAGCACTTATTGAGTAGCTATGGAATTTTGATTATCGGACTGGAAAACATGTAATGTACTCATTAAGTATCATTGTGTGAAAGAAAAAAACAAATAGGAGAAATAAAAGAATGTGATAAAGAAAATGTTGAATAAACTGCCAACTACTACTGGGCATCAATGCACTGGTGATGCAAAGATTTGCAGAAGGGAATAAATGAATGAATAAATAAATGAATCGGCACATACCTATTAGTTCAGCAACAGCACTGAAAGGCCAGGTGTGACTGGTCGAGTTGGTGTGTAAAAATTTCGGGCACAGCTGAAAAACAATAGAATGTCAAAATGATTACATTTTAATTTCATTGCAAGAATTCATAAGCTGCACCTCTTGTGTATGTATGCCTAAAGAGTACAATCTAAGCAATCATTATCTCTTCAAATTACTGTATTGGGGTTACAGTACAGCTATGGTACAAAGACGTTGGGTGTAAATTCTTTTGTGTGGTTTCACAAAATCCAGGGTTTTTTTGTCTCTCAAAGGGACACTCCGGGCACCAGGAAAGATTTTGGCCTCATTAATATGCTACTTTTTTTTTTTGCATGCTCAAAAAAATAAAAAAAAAATAAAAAATAAAAAAATTTCAAAAGCATTCTGCGCCATACACCAATCACCTCAGCCACACCACTTATGCCAGAAAGACTTCCTTATCAAAACTATGTACAAAGTCTCAGCCACAAAAGCACTGAATGAGTGGCTTTTAGTTTACAACCTGGTTGTAGAAAGTCATAGAAACTACAAACCAGTATTGATATCATAATCTGCACGCCTCCCTTTTTTTTCCCCACACGGTAAGTACAACAATTTATGTTTCACAAATGTTCCTCTAGCACCGCACCCCCTCCTGCAATTATCCGAATCGGTTTTTCGCATCCTGCACAGCTTCACGGGTGTAGTATACCACCTGAACATGGTTTTCAACGTCTGCTCCTGAAGTGTTACACAAATCGAAGCTTTTTTTATTCGCTTCCCATCTCTCTTGCCATTCAAGGCCTTCCAGTACCTCTCCAAAGTCTGCTTCCCACTGATCCGTGCAATACAACCGATACCATTCTTTAGTCTCGTCGCAGAGGTGGGAGTACAGTGTTGTTATTAGTCCCTTGGGTGCTGCACCCGCCGAGCACAGCCATTCATAAAAAGGTATGTGGTCCCTGGGCCGCTACTTTGATGTGTGGTCATCTAGCAAAATCTCTAAGCTGTGTATATATTATATATATATATATATATATATATATATATATATATATACACACACACACACACACATACATACATACACATACACGTCCTGATGAAAGTCCACAACGATGGACTGAAACGTTGACCTCTTGACCTACTGGATTAAAAGGTTTTTCATCTTTTTTGCAACTTTATAGTCCTTGAGTGCTGGCTTTGTGTGAACTTTATACATTTGTGCAGCTGAGCACTGGGCAGTAACTGAGGAGAGCTGGAGTGCAACTCCCATCATTATATATATATATCTCGAAAGAAATCGGCTGGCGTCAAGTGTTGTTCCAGTTGAAGCTCCTCGAAGCTCACGACCTTTCTGCTCCGGTATAAGTGGTAAATTCTCTGCAGGTCGGTTATCTCAATGTTACAGAAATCCTTTGGTACCATTCCGGGGGGGAATTCCATGTTTCGATACAGCGGAGTCAAGGGGGAGGGTGTCGAGGCCAGCCCGTACTTCACATTGGTCGCATCCCAGATCCGAATGGAGTAGAGAATCGACGGGCATGTCACCCGTATCTTGGGTCTGTGTTATCTAGGCACCCACATTACAAACTGGGGGATATTTGAACCCACCATTAGGGACTCCACCTCGACCCATCTCCTCTCGTCTGGTGGTGAATGCCACAGAACCACTTGGGCCAATTGAGCCGCGAGATAGTAAAAATACAGATTCAGAAGGCCCAGCTATCCTCTGTCCTTGCGTCCCCTGGAGATCCTGTGTCTTCTTCTGCCAGATGAAATTCCCTATTGTTTGTTGTAGTGGTTTCAATTGCGCTTTGGTGAGACGAATGGGTAGCGCCTGGAACATAGACAACATATGAGGGAGGACATTCATCTTGACAGAATGTATCCGTCCAATCCACAATATCTGCTTATTCGTCCACTTTACGAGGTCTTTCATTAATGTTTGTATCAGAGGGGTATAGTTAGCTGAATGTAGACTATCAGGATTCGCCGTCAGCCGGATCCCCAGATACTTCAGGGGGGTCCCCTCCTTCTAACACAGGTTGTTTTGTTTTCATTCAGTATAGTCAGTGGCTAAACGGAGTTGTGAGGAAATATATCTTGATTCCAATGTTCAGCGTAATTAAGGCCTACATCTGATGCTCTTTATATGTAATGAACCGCTGTAAAGTGCTGTATACGGGTCAGCATAAGTTGCGTTCTCTGTGTACTCTAGCCCCCAACTGAGCACTTATTGGAATCTATACATTGTGTGACTGTTTGCTAACTAATTTTATCTTGCAACCTTTTCTTATGAAATATGTAACCATACACGGTTTTGTAAACTAATTTTATATGCTATGAAATATGTAGCCACGTTAACTAATTTTATCTTTTGACTTTCCTACTTTTAACCACCTTATTTCTTAACCTTCAAGCTTAGCTGCCAACAATATTATGCATAAATGCACCCTACTTTGAATAAACAAGCAGAAGTAATTCTGGGTTCACAACCATCTGTGTTGTGTGTTTATTGCGTCTCAAAGCGCTTGTTGCCGATTTGTAGTCCACTGAATATAAGAGGTGACCAGCCTTTGATGGTCCATGACAGAGTACAACGCTTTGATAAGGGAGTGTTTTTCTGGAGTGAAGGGGCATGGCTAAAAAAGGCAGACAGTATGATTTTATGCCAATCATTCTGGTTACTTAATATTTCTGTTAGATTTAAGAAATCATCTCTTCTACAATTTGCATTTAATAACAAATTTTAAAAAATATTCAGGTAAGTAGTATAACAACGTCTTGGTCCAAGGAGAGATCTGACTGCCATTCTGGGGTTGAGAAGGATTTCCCCCCTATTTTATGGCAAAATTGGAAGGTGTTTCAAGGTGGTTTTTTTTGGTTTGTTTTATATCAACACCAAAAACAGATGTGAGAAAGGCTGAACTTGATGGACGCATGTCTCCTTTCAGCCTATACAACATTATAGATTTTCTTTTTAATAGCCGTGTTGTACCTGGTTTGTGAAGTCAGACCCCATTTTTGGATGAGAAAAACATTGGCCTTAGCCAAATAGTTTTTTTTTTTTTTTTTTTTTATATAAAATTACCATAGGTCCCCCTTTCTCCCCATAAGATGACTCTCTCTAGCAATGCATTTGGTAGGATTTAAATTATGTTACTGTTAAAGAACATGTTAATTGCCTATATCTGGCCCTGTGTTTAATATCAAATTGATATTTAAAGCCATATCAAACAGACATTTTCTGCTTGGTTCAGATATCCTGTTTCGCTTGCAAAAATGTTACTCTTAATGCTAAATCAGCCACCCAAGTACTGTGAGTCTCTGGACGTGCAGAGACTCTAGATTCGCCAAACCACCTCACTAGGACATTTTTAAAAAGTATAAAGAGACTGTTTTATCTGGTCGTGAGCGAGCCAGCTGCCTATCCTATGCCTATCCCACCCATGTTTAAAACTTCCTCACTGTGTTAACCTCTAACACTTCAGCTGGAAGGCTATTCCATCTTTATAGCCACTTTATTTACACACACATACCAATTAAAAACACCAATTTACAATCATACACAAAATAATTAGTATCCCTTGTTCTCCAGATATGCCAGACCAAGTGCTTTGACTGTAGAAAGTTACCCTGGTTTCTGATGGGGGTGCAGGCTGCTTCCTGCTGAGGGCAGTCTGGAAACCAGGTCACTTCCCAGCTTCCCTTGCCTGCAGGAAGTTTTAAGTTCTGATAGGGCGCTGGAGATCCAGTAACCTGAGCACATTGTCAGCGGTGACATCATTGAGCGCAGCAGATGAAATGGATGTGCTGTGGAGTGGCTAAAGAGCTGCGTGTCCACTGCTCTTGCCCCAGACAGGAGCTGCCCACCAGGAAAATTCCTGGTGGGCGCCCCTGGCAGGTCAACGTCCAAGGCAAATGCCAGTTGGCAATCTAGCTGGAATGGCTCAAATTTTGGGCGGGTTTGGGGAAAATTGTCCCTGCCCAGCCCACTCGCTTTGTCAGTATATCTACACTGGCAGACATTTTGTGTTAAGAAAGAAATTAAAAATGTATACTGTAAGTCACAATTAAAACAGAGATGACTCCATTTTGTAACCTAAAAAAAAAAAAAAATTGTTTTGTTTCTCTCTCTGTAATTCTATTCTGCCCTGAGCAGAGGAATGCATTGAACGTAAACACTGGTACTTTTACTTTTCCAATATTAAGGATCTTACACAAAGTTCCATTGTAAGGAAGGGTGAAACTAAGGCTATACGTGTCAGAAACTAATTTAATGGCACAAAACCAAACAGTAAGTCTGGTAAAAACTAACCAAAACTTTTGAAGTCTGACAGATTTTTGACGAATAGATATCATGGAGATAACCAAAATCGACATCAAACATCACGAAATTCAATTAACCCCTTAAACAAAAATTGCGCCATTTACCGAACAAAATCTAGACACCCACCTTACTCGACTGGTCACTGAAACTAATGAGTTAAAGGAAGATTCTCCTTTAAAAATTAAGGACAAAGGAGAAAAAGGCTTGGGTCTTAGATCGGACATCTGGAGCAGGAACAAAGACCCACCTAATTTTCTGTATCTCTTCCAATTACTTTTGGGACTTGTCTTTTTTTCCAACTGAAACTTTGAAATAATAATAATAAAAATCTGAAAACTTTCCTATTGCCCACAATTCTTATTCATTCATTCGGTCCGGCATGTTGCTGACAGAGTGGATGGATGATTGGGAGGGGCTGGGGATGACCCAGCGGTCATGGTCCATGTTGGTACCAATGACAAAGTAAGAGGAAGATGGAAGGTCCTAAAGAATGATTTCAGGGAATTAGGTAGCAAACTTAAGAAAAGGACCTCCAAGGTGGTATTCTCTGAGATATTACCTGTGCCACGTGCTACAGTGGAAAGGCGCGGGAGATTAGAGAGGTCAATGGCTTAAATCTTGGTGCAGGAAGGAGGGTTTGGGGTTTTTAGAGCACTGGGCCGACTTTGCGATTGGGTACAACCTTTATAGTAGTGATGGACTGCACCTAAACAGGAGAGGGTCTGCAGTGCTGTGGGATAGGATGGCTAGACGGTTGGAGGAGATTTTAAACTAGTAGTAGGGAGGTAGGGTCATAGCAATCTACAAAATGGAGATAGGACAGAAAGGAGATGGGCTTTAGCACAGTATAAGGGGGGTGGATACTGGGGGAGGGGCAAGCTCAGAACAGAGAGGCTATGTAATGTTGATAATTCACAAAAAGTACAAGTGACTCACGATATTAAATGCATGCCTACTAAGGCAAGGAGCCTAAATAACAAAATGGGTGAACTATAAGCAGTAGCATACACTAAACAATATGATATAATATAATAGGCATAACTGAAACATGGTGGAAAGAGAAACACGACTGGGCAGTTAACTTAAATGGGTACAAGTTATTTAGGAAGGATAGGAAAAACAAGAAGGGTGGTGGGGTATATTTGTATGTCAACCATGATTTAAAGCCAAATCTTAAGCAAGTGGAATGCGATGAGGAAAATGTGGAAGCTTTATGGGTAAATATCTGCTTGGGGGAAAAGAAGGGAAACCAACTATTGGTTGGGATATGTTATAAACCACCTAATGTTAATATTGACGAGGAACAACAGCTGTATGAGCAAATTGAGAAAGCTGCAAATCTGGGTAACACTTTAATTATTGGAGATTTTAATTACCGGGACATAAATTGGGACAGAGGGAATTAGGTTTTTAAACTTGTTAAATGACACCTTCATGTCACAACTTGTACAAGCACCAACTAGAATGGACGCTTGACTGGACCTGGTTTTAACAAACAACGTTGATCTTTTGACCAACATTCAAGTAGGTGAGCACTTGGGAAATAGGGATCACAATATAGTGTCCTTTGAAATAAACTCAAAAAAACAAAAGCACATGGGGTATACTAATAATTTTAAAAAGGCCAATTTCAATAAGTTAAGGGCAGCTTTACAATATATTGACTGGCATAAACTCTTTAGTGAAAAGAACACTGGGGATAAATTGATCATCTTCCAACAAATATTAGAAAGGTACATTTCTCAGTATGTACCATTGGGAAATAAATATAAAAAAAACTAATTAAAACCAAAGTGGCTTAGTAGAGAAGTAAAACAAGAGATTAAAAATAAGAAAAGGGCATTTAAAGCTAGGGGACTGGGCACTCAAATGGCAGATTCATTTTAATGTTGAAAAATGCAAAGTTATGCACTACGGCGTAAAGAATACACAAGCAACGTATACCCTTTATGGAAGCAAATTAGGGATAACAACACACGAAAAGGACTTGGAAATTGTTATAGACAACAAACTATGCAACAATGTGCAATGTCAATCAGCAGTGGCCAAGGTCAGTAAGATATTGTCATGCATGAAAAAGGGCATTCATTCTCGGGACGAGAATATCATTTTGCCTCTTTATAAATCACTGGTAAGACCACATATTGAATATGCTGTGCAATTTTGGGCACCTGTTGTAAAGAAGGCTATTATGGCACTAGAAAAAGTGCTGAGGCAGGCTACAAAACTAATAAAAGGAATGGAACATATCAGCTATGAAGAAAGGTTAACAAATGTAAACCTATTTAGTTTAGAAAAACGTCGCCTGAGAGAGGATATGATAACATTATACAAATATATTTCGGGGCCAATACAAACCATTGTGTGGAAATCTATTCACAAACCAGACTTTACATAGGACACGAGGTCATGCGTTTAGACTGGAAGAAAGAAAATGTTGTCTAAGGCAAAGGAAAGGTTTTTTTACTGTAAGAACAATAAGAATGTGGAATTCTCTGCCTGAAGAAGTGGTTTTATCAGAGTCAATACAGATGTTCAAACAGCTACTAGATAGTGATGTCGCGAACACTAAATTTTCGGTTCGCGAACGGCGAACGCGAACTTCCGCAACTGTTCGCGAACCGCCATAGACTTCAATGGGCAGGCGAATTTTAAAACACACAGGGACTCTTTCTGGCCACAATAGTGATGGAAAAGTTGTTTCAAGGGGACTAACACCTGGACTGTGGCATGCCGGAGGGGGATCCATGGCAAAACTCCCATGGAAAATTACACAGTTGATGCAGAGTCTGGTTTTAATCCATAAAGGGCAGAAATCACCTAACATTCCTAAATCACAATGGATATGGATTGATACCTGACATATGACATATTGACACAGAGCAGAATAGAGACTGTTCCCCCTACATATGGTCACTTGGCAGATATGGATTGACACCTGTCCTCAGAGCCAATGATACACACTGACACAGAGCAGAATAGACTGTTCCTCCTACATAGGGTCACTTGGCAGATATGGATTGACACCTATCCTAAGGATCCCTGATACACACTGACACAGAGCAGAATGGGGAATATTCACTAAATGCCAAACATTGTTATACAGGGGAATATTCAGTAAATAAGGATAAGGGGGGACCTACTGTCCTCCCCTCCGGCCTGCACGGTGAGCGGAGGGTGGGGGCCATAAAAATAATGAGGGGGGGACCTACTGTATGATGTTGTATTGATCAGGTAGTGTAAGGGTTACGCCCGCTTCACAGTGACAGACCAAACTCCCCGTTTAACGCACCGCAAACAACCGCAAACAGTCCATTTGCACAACCGCAAACTCCCCATTTGCACAAGGTTGGATACCAAGCTAGCCATGTCCCGTTCCTTGTCCTCACTGATGTCATTGAAGGTCTCTTCCTCCACCCAGCCACGTACAACACCAAGGGTCCCCGAAAGGTGACAACAAGCCCCCTGGGACGCCTGCTGTGTTTGGTCTTCCACCTCCTCAAAGCCACCTTCCTCCTCTGACTCCTCTTCTTCAGACTCCCTCTCTCTGCGTTATTATAAGGTGTGTTAAGTAGTATTATTCCTATCAGTTTAATCCCTGTTACGTCCCCTATCAGGGGACTGTATATGGCATCGATTTTAGGAACCGGGAGATGGAAAAAGATGCTTGGTCGGTCCTCCTACTTCAAATTTGGGGCACTGCGCGTGCAATCTAATGTGCCACCAGATAGGAGTTGTGTGTTAAGTAGTACTATTCTTATCAGTTTAATCCCTGTTACGTCCCCTATCCGTTGATGTGGAGCAAGACGCAGCAGCAGAAGAGGACTCAGCCGAGGAGGTTATGGAAGAGGATGGAGTAGGAGGAGTAGAGGAGGTGGCAACAGGCCTGCCTGCAAGTCGTGGCGGTGTCACCAACTCCTCTGCAGAGCCACGCATTACATGCTTGGCAGCCGTCAGCAGGTTTACCCAGTGCGCATTGTAGGGGTGGCCTGCCTCTGCCTGTCATTTTTTTTTCGATTAGTGGTACTATGCGTGCAAGCTACTGTGACACCAGATATGAGTGGCACTGTGAACTGGCAGAGGTTGGCAGAGTACACGCTGTAGGGCTGACACACCCGCTTGAAGACAACTAACTGCTATCTATAACAGAGAAAAAAGTTTTTTGGTTTTTAAATGCAAGCTATTGTGACACCAGTGAGTGGTGGCGGCACTGGGCAAGTGGGCACAGTATACGCTGCGAGCCTGATACACAGACGCTTGCAGACAACTAACTGCTATTCAATCTATAACAGTGAAAAAAGTTTTTGGTTTTTAAATGCACGCTATTGTGACACCAGTGAGTGAGTGGTGGCACTGGGCAAATGGGCACAGTATACGCTGCAAGCCTGACACACAGACGCTTGCAGACAACTAACTGCTATTCAATCTATAACAGTGAAAAAAGTTTTTTGTTTTTAAATGCAAGCTATTAGGACACCAGATATGAGTGGCACTGTGAACTGGCAGAGTACACGCTGTAGGGCTGACACACCCGCTTTGAGACAACTAACTGCTATTCAATCTATAACAGTGAAAAAAAAGTTTTGTTTTTAAATGCAAGCTATTGTGACACCAGTGAGTGAGTGGTGGCACTGGGCAAGTGGGCACAGTATCCACTGTGAGCCTGACACAGAAGCTGGCAGGCAGGCAGTCAACTGCAATTACATTACACAGAAAAAAAAAAAAAGCAGACTGATGTTATAGCCCTAAAAAGGGCTTTTTTGGGTGCTGTCCTTACAGCAGAGATCAGATGAGTCCTTCAGGACTGTAGTGGACACTGTATACACTAACCTAGATATCAATTTCCCTATCAAATCAATAGCAGCTACACTTTCCCTCCTCTCACTAAGCATGCAGTTTGAGAATGAATCTAAAATGGATGCTGTCCAGTAGGTGGGAGGGTCTGCTAGGGAGGGTGTGCTGCTAATTGGCTGGAATATGTCTGCTGACTGTGAGGTACAGGGTCAAAGTTTACTCAATGATGACGAATAGGGGGCGGATCGAACCGCACATATGTTCACCCGCTGTGGTGAACGCGAACATGCTATGTTCGCCAGGAACTATTCGCCAGCGAACCGTTCGGTGCATCACTACTACTAGATGCATACTTGCAAAAACAGAATACTCAAGGATATAATCTTTCAATGTAGGGTAATAACTGCTTGATCCAAGGATAAATCTGACTGCCATTCTGGGGTCAAGAAGGATTTTTTTTCCTAGCTTGTTGCAAAATTGTGCTTCAAACTGGGTTTTTTTCCTTCTTTTGGATCAACAGCAAAAAAACAAATTTAAGGAAGGCTGAACTTGATGGACGGAAGTCTCTTTTCAGCTATGTAACTATGTAACTTGCATTCACCACTTTGATGGAATAAATCTCCAAGACTAAAAGAAATTCTACCCAGAGCTGGCAATTATATTGGTTTAAATTTAATTTAATTTTTACAAAAAGACAAATATATCTGGATAAAAGGCTGGTCAGATTTCAACTATTATAAAATCACAGTTAGCTAATGAAATATACTGTTCCAAATTCTTAACTGCAGAAAGAATAAGCCAATATATTTACTGGTAATTTGCCAAAAATAGCATATCGGCGATTAACCAGAGATATTGATTTATCTGGATTAGGGATAGTCATCTTTAATTAGGATTTAATAAATTAAAATTCTGTAAAATCTGGTTAGAATTATTCTTCTTGGTCATTGGATGAGAAGGAATGGTAAACTGATCTGGTATGAGTATTATTGTATTTGTCATTGCAATATAAAAGGTATTTTGCCTGTGAGAATTGTAGCAAGCAGTAAATGAGTTAATTAACTCAGTGTGATTTGACTGTCAGACGGAGTTTATTGCTTTATGCTGTGATGATGAGAAGAGTCCTGTGTTAAAGAATGTTTAGCAAGCTGATTTCAAAGTGAAGTGTCCTATCACAGATCTGTTGAAATTTGCATCTATTTTGATATTAAATGTTGCTATTTAGCTGTCTGTAAACAGTGTTAAACCACTGCCATATTGTATACATTTGTTATAACTATTCACTGATTATTGTGACGCATATAACATATTATTGTCACAATAAATTATGTTATAATTAGTTTATGATTACTGTGTGAAATACAAATCCTCTAATAAAAAAAACATACTCCAGGGTCTATAAGAATTAAAAATAGTGGGTAGCTCTCTGCTTTAAATTAATCAAGGGGAACAGTGCCAATATATAAATTTTTTATAAATTTTGATAATTATTAAAATATTTAATATTTTTCACCCCATAAATATCCTCACAGCTTTAACCTCATCACTGAAAAGGGTATTTGCGAACGTGTGAATTGTCAGGAATTCAAGAGAGAATGTCACATTTTAGCAGAGACTCCCTCAACGCTGCTCATCTCTCCCACATCATCATCAATAAGGCATGGCTTATTCATCACTGGTCCAATACAGTGCTCCTCAAAGATGAGCACTGGGGACATGATGTGCATGCATTACAAGGAGACCTACAAAAAGATTCTGTCATTCCTTTTAGTAGATCCTACTACAAGTGTCGCTTTTCATAAGAAAGCTTTGATCTCAGGACTTGCCTATGAGGTTCCATGTCAGGTAGGTCAGGTCAGCAGCGTGTTTACATTAGGATTTGGGGATGGGGTCCCTTATCTCTCTGCTCAGAGCTGTAAAGCACTTAATGCTGCTCAGGTCAGCAGATTGTTTACTTAAAGACTTGCTGGGGATGGGGGTCCTGTTTGATTAAAGTTAGAAATCCCCCCCCCCCCAAAAAAAAAGCCTGTAGACCTGTAACTCTTTATAGAATAGCATTAGGAGTATTATTCCCCCTTACAGTTTGTAGAGATGCTAGGAGTATAATCACTAAACTCTTATTTGTTCATAGCTTGTTATATTATGTATTCCTCTGTGTTAGATTCATGTGATGGTCACGGTCAGTGTTAGGAGGGGTTCAGCTTAGACAGAAAAAAAAAAAAAAAATGGAAAAATAATTCTGTACCTAAAAAAAAAGGTAGAAGTTTAGGAAGTTAATATGCAAAACTGAGGAATGCATATTGATATGCATGTTCTAATCTAGACCTGCTTTTAACTCTCACATTTTCAAAAATGCCTGGATGAAAACTTGTGCAAAGCTGCACATTAGATTTAATGAATTAGTCATATGCTAAGATATACATTATCAAGGTTAAAAATGGATTTCAAACAATTTAGTTTCAAGGGTGGCTCTGTTCCTTTTGTATTTGCTACCCCACGTCAGACTCTGCCCTAGCCTCCAGTCCTTTAAGTAGTCACTGAAAATACACATTTTTAGGTAAGTTACCACTTCCTGGATTACGTTTCATTTCACTGCCCTCCCCTCCATAGCTCAACTCACTCTTTCTTTCTCCTGCCACTGTTCGGTTCTTAGACACACCACTTTTACTTGCTTACTTTGACAGACACATCTTATCCAACAATCCCTACCACCTCTAACATGCAGTTATTTATCTTGACTGTCCACAGATTGTAAGCTCGGTTGAACAGGGCCTTCTTTACCTTGTCTGTTAGATACTGAATATAAATTGTCAAATATACCCATTTTACAATTGTAAAGCGCTATGGAATATGTTGGTGCTATATCACTAACAATAATGAGAATTCAAACTAAAATTTAAAAATGTAAAGCCAAAATCACAATTTTTCCCCACCATAACCTTTTTGGTTTTTGATTCCCAAGCACTACCATGCCTCAATAAGCAAACCAGTAACCAACCTCATGCTGGTGATTTGCATTAACAAAGAAACAGCTGTCCACAAGTGGTTTACTGGCTTTGCATCTTTTCCTTTATACAGCAAACACAGACTCCAATGAATCCATTTTTTAAAGCGGAATGAGGCAAAAATGTGATTCTTTGCTAAACTAATTTGCATATATGCCCACCCAGAATCCTTTGGAGTAGTAACATCACTGCAGATTTGTGATTACTGTGGTTAAAGCAAGCCTTATGGCTTAACTGGTGTGCAGATTTTTGTTTAACATTGTATTAATTATCCAAAGATACGTGATAAGGCAAAGTAAGTTCAATTCTACTCAGCAGAGATGAAATATACAATTGCTAGCCCTCGTTCCTTCTAACTACATAGCATGCTCTTCCAGCTGTTTGGAACCACAGTCAATCACCTCCTCATTCCCTTCACATGTTATCAGTTACTGCCATCACCTCCAAATTCCTCTGCTACCTCGTGTCTCATCTCCAAATTTTAAACATTACATTGTGGGCCCCTCTACCTTTTGTATTGGTCTGTTTATATTGTATTGTCTCTCCTCTCCTCCCCCCTACAGCACTGTGGAACATGTTGGCGCGTTATAAACACAGAAGTAATAAATAGATTTAATACACCCATGCGTTCAAGTATAATAATAAAAATAAAAACATTTCAAATAATGCATCATATTTTTTTTAGTTCCTGTCCCAAACTAGACATATTTTGGAAGCATGTTTTTTGACTGGCCATTTCTATAGTCAACCATATTGTACCCCCATCCCAAAAAACATGTATATTTGAGAAATACCAAGATTACTTGTCAAAAAAAATAAGACTTATGTTGGGCCACCTACTAATATTTGCCACCTCTGTAATCCCCTGACACTGGAAATCAACTACCATACAAACTATTAGCAAAGCTCTTAAATTAGTCTTGTGAACTCCCACTCTGCATACCCAATGATAATGTATCTCTGCTAAACAATGAATGGGCTTTGTGGGAAGAGAACATTAGACATCAATACAATGTTTCTCCTTGACTTCGACCTGGCCAGACCTTTGTTTTCAAATTTCTTTTAACTTTTATATTCATATCTTAATACCTTAATAAAACCACTTCAATAAATATATTCTAGAAAGATGATTGTCTTTATTATTGACATTAAATTTTACTTGCAATATGACATAATGGAGATATATATATTCCCCTGTTTGATTGCACTGCTACAATTTTTTGTTATAACTACTATTATGGTGAGTGGAAAAATTGATCAGTAAAAGAATATTTGGAAAGAAAACCTTTTAAGTGTGTGGTGCGGGGCATTTTATTTACAAAATAACAAACGTGTTGTCATTGAATTGGAATACACACTATAGGGGGGAGTCATGAAACCTTTCAGGTGTAGTGACACAGTACACTGGTAGCAAAAGGAATCTATAATCGGGGACAAAGTGAAAAATAAGATTTGTATTTAAATTTGCATTGTGACTAATGCCATGGAGTAACCCTGTGCATGGGCCGAATACAACCTTTGGAAAGCAAGTCGGTAGAACGTGCCTATCAGTTTCAGTCAAGACAAGCGAGAGTGGAGAACCAACAAGGAAACGAAAGTGAAACAAACTGGAACGAACGGATAAACCCTCATCTGCTAGCGACATCAATCTACAGCTCCATGCATTGACAGCAATGCGAGCCAGGCAGACCCCTCCCAGAAATCATTAATTAGAGGGCTTCCTGTATTTGATCACGTAGCGCTGTGTGTGTGTGTGTGTGTGTGTGTTGCACTCCACGTGGGTGTTTACAATTGAATAAAACAGATATTCAGAGAGGTGAAAATCAAGAAGATTGCTCTGGATCAAGTTCAATGAACTGCAATCAACACAAACCAGGTTCACAAGCCACCCACCATAAACACACGGTGTATACATTGTATCATTGCACACACTATACATTACACACCGTATACATTACACACACACACACACACACTTTAATAACGCGCTATTCTTCAAATCACAAGCACACCATAAACACACACACACACAAAATAAAAACCACACACACAGTATACATTCTATCATTGCACACAGACTTTAACGTGCTATTCTTCCAAAGCACAAGCACACACACAATAAACACACACTGTATACATTACACACAATAAAAACACACACACACACACACACAGTATACATTGTATCATTGCACACAGACTTTAATAACGTGCTATTCTTCCAAAGCACAAGCAGACACACTGTATACAGGGCACACATACACACACAGCAGTCTGATACAAATTAACAATCTCAGGCGAGCACAAGACTAAACCCCTCACCTCGTACACCAATAACACGATAAATAAATGGCATTAGCCACTGGGAGTGTGTAAACAGCCAATACCCGGCTACTGCTGGACTACAACACCCATCACACACAGACTGCCAGAGCCAGCAGGATGATAGGAGTTGCAGTCCGGAGGCTGGGTCGTGCAGTGTCCTATGAGGGAGGGGGAAGCTCCCTCACACACAGGACTCTCTCTCTCTCACTCACTCACTCCCAGCACCCCCAGCCAGCCAGGGCTTTAAATGTCGCCGAGTCCCGCGCTTTATTCCCCGCCCCACGGCCTCTCCGCGTCTCCCGCTCCCCCGGAGCCCGCCCGTGCCCTCCCTCTCACCGCACTCAGCCGGATCCCGTTCGTTGCCTGTGCCGCCATCTTCTTTAAACGACTCGGAATCCAAAGGCACAACAGCTGAGCAACTCCCTCCTTCCGGGGCGTGGCTTCCCGCAGATCGCAGCCAATCACGGTGCGGCGGGCGTGGCCTCGGGGGATGGTTATTTACCCACGTGACCCTCGCTTGGCTCCTGTCACTGTCTTGTGATCTGTGGGAAGTGTGACATACACTGACAGGGACTCCCTCCCAAAACATAAACAAACACACACACACACACAAATAATTGGAATTGTCAGTGATTTATTGTGAATTTATAAATAAAATAAATATCTGCCCCACTGAAAGCACAGCTGTCAGGGATAATTTCTCCAATACAGATATTTCAGCAGGAAATTATTATTATTATTATTTTATTATTTATATAGCGCCATCAAATTCCTCGCTTTACAATGGGTGGACAAACAGACACGTAGTTGTAACCAGAAATTCACTTTGAAATCTCACATATTTCTCTATAGGTTTTTTTTTTTTTTTCAGCGTACTCCAAATGATAACTATTAGGGTCAATTTTATTGCTTTGGCTTAATGTATCAAATTATATAATTGTGATAGGGGCATAAAAAAGCCGAGGCAAGAGTGTAAGGAGAGTATGAAGGAGTAGAAAAGGTGTAAGAAGAGGGCAAGTCGGTTGAGGTGTGCCGGAACCGACGTAGCAGTAGGCCTGTAAATAAAGAGGGACCACCCAGTAAGGAGTAAAAGAAAAGTATTAAAGGGAGAGGAGGGTGGGGGTCTACAGTGGTTATGGTGTCGGGCAGAGTGCATGGAGTCCTCGGAAAGCACTAGGAGCATCCGTCAGCGGAAGGTACCCGGTCGGGGTGCCAGCGGTTCCGTTACACTCTCTAATTTGCCTTATGTCTAGATTCCCTCTTAGATAGGGGGTCCTTTGATATGTTAATGGCCAGTAGCCTTGTGTTCCAGTATCATATCAAAAAGAAACATTAATACTTACCCACAGATTAATAATTAAGCCTTATTTTTATTATATTTAGAATGGGACAAGCACAATCTTCTAATCAAGGATTGTGATGTCCGCTATATTGAGTCACATGTACTCCCTGGGGAGAAGTTTTACTTTGAAAACCTGAGTAAGTAAATAGGACTTCTGTTATTTTATCCCTTTTGTTTGTATCTGTTGTTGGTGTAAATCACTTGTTTATCACTTATTTTTTGTATGCACTGTGACTATTTTTTGCTCATAATAAATATTCCTTTATTAAGTTCTACCTTTGTCTGGTAAAGAATCACATTACCTAAAGTGACTAATTAATGAGTGTTTTACAATTGCATAGGTATTGTGCTAAGTTGTATTTGGTGGGTATTTAGTATTAAAGGGACACTGTAGGCACCCTAATTGAAGTAGTCTGGGCGCTGTGACCCTTTTGCACTTAGTGCTGCAATGTTAAACATTTTGATTAAGAAACTAAAATTATAGATCACGGTGGTGCAGTAGACATTGCTTACCTAGATTTCAGTAAGGCTTCTGACACTGTTGCACATAGAAGGCTTATCAATAAACTGCAATCTTTAAGTTTGGATTCCAATATTGTTGAATGGGTAAGGCAGTGGCTGAGTGACAGGCAACAGGGTGTTGTAGTCAATGGAGTATATTCGAAGCTTGGACTTGTCACCAGTGGGGTACCTCAGGGATCTATACTTGGACCCATTCTCTTTAATATTTTTATTAGTGATATTGCAGAAGGTCTTGATGGTAAGGTATGTCTTTTGTTGATGATATAAAGGTTTGCATCAGGGTTGATGTTCCAGGAGGGATAAGCCAAATAGCAAATGATTTAGGTAGACTAGAAGAATGATTGGAGCTGTGGAAACTGATATTTAATGTGGATAAGTGCAAGATAATGTATCTTAGGTATAAAAACCCATGGGTAGTGGATGTATAGAATAGCCTTCCAGCTGATAGGGCCAGTGACTAATGAAAGTATTTTTTATTTTTTTTAAATTGAGTTTACTAGATGGGCCCAATGGTTCTTATCTGCCGTCACATTTTATGTTTCTATTGCTGTGTTGTCAGTATATTTCCACTGGCAGACATTTTGTGTTAAGATAGAAATTAAAAATGTATACTGTAAGTCACCATTAAAACAGAGGTGACTCAATTTTGTAACAGAATACAAAAGGACAGACACATTTTTATTTACTTCTCTGTAACTCATTCATTCAAGCAAAGGAATGCGTCTAACTTAAACGCTGGCCAGAGATAAGACTCTCTGCAGCAAGGGGGGGTTGAAAAGCAAAAGCAACAGCCAGGGCCAGGCCGAGACATTGTGCTGCCTGGGGCAAAGGATGAAATGCTGTCCCCCCACTCCCCTTCAACATTGTGCACCTCCAGAAGATGCATTGTGTGTAATGTATGCAGTATGCATAATGAATGCTTTGTATGCATGTGTATAGTGGATACAGAGTGTGTGTGTATGTGTTGATGCAGTGTAGTGTGTGCAGTGTCTGTGAAGTTGGATGTTCCGAAAGTGCTGTATCAAAGCACATTAATAGAAAGTTATGTGGAAGGGAAAAGTGTGGAAGAAAAAGGTGCGCAGGCAGCAGGGATGACCGCAGCCTACCCTGGTCTTGGGTCCAGAGTGGGTGGAGACTCTACAGAGAATTGTCAGGAAAAGCCCATTCAAAAGTGTTGGGAACTTTCACAAGTAGTGGACTGAGGCTGGAGTCAGTGCATCAGGAGCCAACACACACAGACGGATCCTGGACATGGGCTTCAGATGTCGTATTCCCCTTGTCAAGCCGCTCCTGAACAACAAACAACGCTAGAAGCGAATTTACCTGGGCTAAAGAAAAACAGACCTGGTCTGTTGCTCAGTGGTCCAAAGTCCTCTTTTCTGATGAGAGCAACTTTTGCATCTCATTTGGAAACCAAGGACCCAGAGTCTGGAGGAAGAATGGAGAGGCACACACTGCAAGATGCTTGAAGTCCAGTGTGAAGTTTCCACAGTCTGTGTTGATTTGGGGAGCCATGTCATTTGCCGGTGTTGGTCCACTGTGCTTCATTAAGTCCAGGGTCAACTCGGCCGTCTACCAGGAGATTTTGGAGCACTTCATGCTTCCTTCCGCAGACGAGCTTTATGGGGATGCTGACTTCATTTTCCAGCAGGACTTGGCACCTGCCCACACTGCCAAAATCACCAAAGCCTGGTTCAATGACTGTGGGATTATTGTGCTTGATTGGACAGCAAACTCGCCTGACCTGAACCCCATAGAGAATCTATGGGGCATTGCCAAGAGAAAGATGGGAGACATGAGACCGAACAATGCAGAAGAGCTGAAGGTCACTATTGAAGCATCCAGGTCTTCCATAACACCTCAGAAGTGCTCCATTCCTTTTGAAGAAGGAACAAGGGTTATGAAACATTTGAAACCCTGTTCGCTGTTTATTAATAGAGGGTCATTCAAGTGGACCCTTGCATACTATGTTGCTTTAATGCATTGTTCTTATCTTTCTCTTTTTAATAGGACAAAGGCTATTGTTTAAAAAAAAATGACCAGAATGCTGTTTCATCCAGAGTTTTGCAGTGCTATACACCTGCTGCAAAAAGAATGGTGTTTGGCCACATCCCAGTCTGAGAAGGCTATGTACAGAGGCAAAACCACACCACTAAATCAATGTATTGTGAAGACTTAGTGAAAAAAGTGCAAAACCAAGCAGTATATTTCACTTACCTGATTCTTACCTGAGGTCTCTCTGTGCTGGGTCAGGCTCGTGCTCCAACGACATTGACAATCCTGGGGAACCTAATATGCATGCACCACATGCCTCATTAGGCCTTCCTCATAGAAAATTGATTCAAAGTATTCATATTGGGCTGCACATTTTCTGTGGAACTCCCTTCCCTTCTCCGTTAGACTTTCACCCAGTCTCCACTCCTTTAAAAAATCTTTGAAAACACTCTTCTTCAGGAAAGCATATCATTTAAACTGTTAGCAGATTTTCATTCCCCTCCCCATGACTCCTCTCCTGTCAAAAATAACTTAGAATAAGTTCCCAGTGAATACTTTTCTAGCATCCTATTTTATTACCCCTACTTATACCCTTTGTGTCACTATATCCCACTCCCTCTAGCATGTAAGCTCATTGAGTAGGGCCCTCAACCCCTCTGTTCCTGTGCGTCCATTTGTCTGGTTACAATTACGTGTCTGTTAGTCCACCGATTGTACAGCGCTACAGAATTTTGCTGGCGCTATATAAATAATAAAATAACATTAAAATAATAATAATAATGTACACTCCTTGTTTTATTGATTGCATGTAATATTCTAATTTACTGAGATTGTGGATTTGGGGTTTTCATGAACTGTAAGCCATAATCATCGCACTTATGACAAATCACGGCTTGAACTATCTTGCTTTGCATGTAATGCGTCTATCTCATATATTAATTTCCCCCATTTTACGTTGCATTACTGAAATAAATGAACTTTTGCACAACTTTCTAATTTTTCGAGTATCTCCTGTGTGTATATATATCCACATATACACTAACTATAATTATATTTAATCATATATCAATAGTACCTAAGTTAATATGATGGAATATTCATGGATAGAATATCAATGAAGAAATATCATATTATTAAACTAACATAGCTGAATGTGTAAGAGACATGTATATATCACATGCTGTCACATTACTAACTATGTAGCTTCACACAAGAAAACCAGACACAGGATTACAGATAACACTAAAGTAATTAATTTTACTTTTTAAATATTAAGGCACTGATACAAAGTTTCATTGTATTAAGAGGGTGAACAAGGGTTCGGTGGTGTCAAAATCGAATTTTATAGACCAAAAAGGAGTCAGTCAGACTGAGAAAAGACTTTGAAGTCTGACAGGCTTTGATGGATGGTTATCCATAAAGATAACCAAAGACTTTAAATGCATCACGAAGGATCATTGGAATTTCTGACAAGAATTTCTGGTGGTGTTATGGTGCCATCTCCTGACCAAAATCTAGATGATAGCCCAT